ACTCTGAAACCCTGGAATGACATCTTAAATGTCAGCATTGTTAATTATTCCTCTGCAAGTTATTTCAACTGAATATTCGCTTCGTGAGCTTGAGTCAAAATACTAGGCTTGCTCCAAAATCAATGCAAGGTGACAAAAGTTCCAATTATCCACCCTTCAGCTGTCAAATTCAAATGCTACCAAAAGCTACCTCTACAATCTTCATCGCATTTCATACCACTGAAAAACAAAATTGTAGGGATATCAAATAATTTGAATTTAAGATGAAACAAAATGTACAATTTGTTTCCTGTAATCCCTTCAGACAGTACAAACTGAAAATTATGCCTTGGGTAGGTGATATTTTTCTGTAACTTGCCTATTTTAACTAAAAAAAAAGTCTTAAAAAAAAGAAATCCTCACTTCATCGTAGCACTGAAGCAACTGTGGCATAATACATAGCCAGAGATGAAATGTTCCCTATGAAGTTTCAGTCTTCTCTCTTTTTTTAATTGCCACTGATCACAGACAAGAGATCATTTCATTTCATTTTTAAAAATAAAAACCAATTAACCAAGAAATATTCCTGCCTATAGAGTGCTAGAAACCATACCCATGTTGCTAAAACGTCAAGATTATTTTTATGCTGCAGTAGCAACAACTACAAAGGAAAGACTGTGGCATGCTTAAAGATGTTACAGTAATGCTTGACATTACCATGAGTTTCTAGAAAAACATAAGCAGAAAGCTTCAAGCAGATTTTTCTTTTGTGCATACATTATCTAGCGTTACTTTTCATCAGAAACAAAAAGATGAAATTCTAACTGTCACAGCAACAGGCCAAATGGCACCTTTAACCCCTTTCTGCTTTCTCTCAGAGCACTACCCTTAATTATCAGATTTCTTGCTGTTATATGTTACTGGATAAATTCTGACAGTTCTCCTCTTTTAGAACAGGTTCCAGCCTACGGGATGGCTTATCAACCAGTTTACCTGGCAAATCCAACTAAATCCAAGCTCTGTCTGTTCTTCCCTTCAGTGATCTCATAAGCTGCTTAAGAACAGAGTACTTTTCAGTTTAAACTTGAAACAAAACATTTAGAAACAGAGCTCTGCCTCTATGCCTCTATTATGCTGCCTCTACTACCTCCTGCTAGTAAATTAGGTAGGTAACTTCAGAATTCCCAGGCAGATTTTATGCCTAATTTTCAAAAACAAAAAATCCTTCTTGCAAAGGTTCTTTTAAAAAATGTCATTCTTCTCTTATTGCTTACGTCTTAGGGATTTTGCCACAGGTTTTATTGGCTCAGTGACTTGTGTGCATTTGTTGACAAATGGCATATACTGAGCTATTCATTTTCCTTTCCATCTGTCTCTTCTAACAGCACTTCTGTAAATTTAGTTGGTAAGTTCATAAATATCCAAACTGACTAACGTATAGAATGTCATCATTATTAAACTATTTTAGAGCTACTATGAATCCATCATGTAAGTTTCCCAGTGCTTAGAGGGCAGCTGCATAGAGGACAGAGGCTCTCTCTTCACAAGGAGCCACACGGAGATGAAAAGGAGCAACAGGTCCTGATAAAGGGAAGAAATTTTGCCAGGGAGAACAATTAATTACTGGAAGAACCACCATGGGGACGTGGTAGAACCCACATAAGTGGAGGTTTTCAAGGCATGACTGGATGGGGTGCTAGATAATTTTATCCAGGTACCCTTTTCCTGGAAAGGTACCCTTTTCCAGCGTGGGCTGTTCTCTGATTCCATGATTCTGGGTTCTAAATTCTCAGAATAATTATTAGACTAAAAGCATTACTTTAATTAGGACTTCCTTAAAAGCTCTTACTAGAATTTGTTGGATTTGTTAATGCAATTTAGCTTTCCTCTCTTTCAGTAAGTCTCATAAACCTAGCTACACGCTTCTCAAATATTACTGACAAAAGCTCAACAATGTAATGTAAAGCCCACACCACTGACAAAATACATCCTATACAAAAAACCTTGCTTTCCATTGTTCTCTCCAAAACAGGAACATTTGTGGCATATGCTCTGTTAGGTGGACAGAAAGGACGCCCTCCCACCGATAATGTGTTGCAATGCCACATAAAAGAAGAAAAAAAAAAAAGAAAAAAAAAAGCTAAAAATAAATTCTGAGTTGCAGACACGGAAAGATCAACATTTCTTTTTATACTGCTTCTTGCAATTTTTCTACTAGAGCTGTTAGTCTCATCTTGGCTCATGAATCCCAGAACCAGACTGAGGAAAGGGGTGTCCTATTGAAGGTGTACAACCTTACACCCCCTGGCTCGCTATTTGGATTTCCCTATACTCTTTTGTTACCAGGTAGTTGTGACTGTGAATATATTTCCAGCTAATTCCCTTTGTTTTTAGAAAAATATCGATGTTGTATCTTGCCTTGTTTGATGTTTGGTCATATCCAAGTCCCTGCCCTGATTTACATCCTTTGTTTCTGCAGAATTGTGCTCACAGCTTTCCAGTAATTTTAATCTGTAAACTGGTTTGAAAGTAGTTTCCTTTACTTTTTTTTTTTCTTTGCTGACTATCGTAATTTGAAGCATGTGTAAATACCCATCACAAAATCTTTAATTATTCTGTATTTATTGTGCTTATTCTCCAGCTGCTTGGAATATTACTAATTACCTCTTTAAAGTCAAAAAGTAAAAGACTTGGTTCTCATAAGACAAACTCTAGTCAAGAGATAGAAGTCGATGAGCAAAAGCAAATAGAAAATGTCAACAACTTGATATGGCATTTTTTTTAATATAGCTAGCGAATGAGATATTCAAAGGCACATCAAGGAGTTAGAAACACAACTCTGGTTAATTGCAGTGGGAATTGTCCTTCAAAAAAAGCTTTGAAAACATTTATATGTAATTTTAAAATTATCTGTGTGGGTTTTTTTTTGAAGTTGCACCCTCAAATTTTATTTGGTCATGACAGATGGAAGCTAAAATTCTGAATAACTGATTACTACTGAGAAAGGATGAGATAGGGAGAAAATTAAAATGTATACACTGGGAATATGGCTGAAAAGTTAACTTCAGTTGTTGCAGATGAACAACTGGAAATTCACTGGAAGCTACATTAGGAACTACTTTTATAACATATTTTAAACCTTCCAAATTTAAGTATTTTAAATAAATCACTCTAAATTTCAGGATTAAAAAAAAAAAAAAAAAAAAGGAAGAAGGAAAAAAACTTAAAACAGCATTCCAAATAGAATAAATTATATTTGAAATATTTCAGGTATTGATAATCAAATGTTTCAGCGTGACTTCTTCACAGTCATTCTATCACAGTAAGTGAAGACATCAGTTGTAACGAATAAAATGTTTTCAGGGTTCTGTGCACAGAAACAGGTTCTGTAACCTCCTCCCCCTCTGCCCCTTGGGTTTGGCTGCCTGTCCTCAAGGCCAGCTCTGACATGGTGCAGTGATAACCTAGAGTTAACGCTGCTTGCTACCAGACAGAGCCATGAGACACTGTGCTGGGGGCCTCTGCCCTTGGCTCAGGATTTCAGCTCCGGGCCATGCCCCTGAGCCTTGTCTGAGCAATGCTGTAGATGTGTCTGTGCTCAGAATGGCACTTGGCTGCTCCTGACCTGCTGCTGACTTGCCTTCTGGTGTCATCTCAGACCTGCCCATCGCTGCAGGCTTGTCTGGCCACCTCTTGGCTGTGGCTGACTGCAGGCACCATCTGAGCAGTGCCGTGGCAGTGAGGACACTGCTCAGCTCCCTGCCATCACCCTCAGCTCCCAGCTCACCTGCCCTCACCTGCTCCTGCTGCTGCTGCCTGGCAAATAAAGAACCAAAATGTTCCTGGGACAGTTCTGAAATGAAATACACCAATGAAAGAAAAAATGTAAAGCAAAAATAAAAACGTTTTATTAATTTTTAAGAAAACCACAATGGGAAATTACTGCAGCACTTTCTAGAGTTAGTACATAAACTTATCAGGAACTTTCCTGAAACTCCGTGTATAACTTTATTTTAATATTTCATTTTAAAAACGTTTTCCATAATTCATAGGTTGAAACAATATTTCTGCTGACATGAAAACCATCTGCCTTAGCACAGGAGGTAAGAACCAAGCAAAACAAATTATTCCCTGGAACTGATATTAAAAATGCAGTTCACTCAGTTAATTTAAGTAAACAGTCTAAGCAAAACAAAGCAAAAGGTCGAAATTTGGTGTAAATAAATAGACTAGCAGCTCCTGAGAACACTCCATTGTGATTTCAGGACAATAAATCCAAAGTGAATTGTGCTGCTCTTGGAGTCTGAAGGGATTTATAAACCCTAAATTTGGAACCACACATTACTACTGAAAGAAGTCAAAACGGCTGCGATCCTTCACCTTTTGCTGTTGAATTTGACAAACTGAAGCGCACAGGGATGTAAAGGTGGCATCCAAGCCTGCACCACTCACGTAATAAGCATAAGAAACCATCTGAGGGAAGCACAGTCAGCCAGAAAGAAATGGGTAGTGACCGCGTCACGGAGTGGTAATGGCATTTAAATAAATAAATAAATAAATAGAGACGGAACTGCCTAGTGTTTTCCTAAATTAAGTTAAATGTTATTTAGCCCCGAGCTGCCTGAGAGGAGCTCCCAACGCCTGCCATCAGCCCGGGCTGAGGTGCCCTGCGCTGCCAGAAGCGACACCGGGGCGTCCCGGGATCGGTCCCGCGGGCTCTCCCCGCTCCCTTTCCCCCCTTGGCAGCCCTGTCACACCCCATCCCTCTCCCAGCCACCCTCCCCTTCCCTCTCCGGTCCCTTCATGGCCCCGCTGTCCCCTCATGCCCCCCTGCGGCACCCTCCCGCAGCCTGCCCGCCGCCGCTTCCCGCCCGTCCCCTCATGGCCGCCGCCCGCCTCCCCGCCTCGCCCCGCGGTTCTCGGCGTTGCCGCGGCGACTGGAGAAGCCGCCGGGCGCTGGCCGCAACCGCCGCGGGGCGAGGCGGGCGGGAGCCGGGGCGGGAGGGAATGAGGGAGGGAGGAAAGGAGGAAGGGATGGGGGCGAGGGGCTGAGAGGGCGCACGCCTTGCTCATGGCGGGTGCGGAGGGAGCGGCGGGAGGAGCGCGGCAGGTAACGGGCAGGGAGGGGATGGGGGGGGACGGGACGGCGGTTCCCGTCGCAGCGTGGTGTGGATCGGTCCCCGGTGCTGCCCCGGTGCCTGGGACACCTCGGGTGTCCGTTCCCTGTGGAGCCAGTGCCTCTGTGCGTGTGTTATCCGGGGTGTCTGTCTCCGTTAGAGCCACAAATGTCCCCGCGTCACCTCAGGCGTCCGTCCCCTGTGGAGCCAAGGGAGGTGATCCTGTGCCTGTGGCACTCAGGTGCAGGTCTCCTGTGGAGTCACTGCACCTGTGTCACCTCAGGTGCCACACAGCGGTGTCCCCACACACCTGTACATACAGGTATCCATCCCCTTGAGAGCCGTGCTTTTTGCCCCCTAAGGAATTAGGGCTGTCTCATGGCACCCTCCCTCCTGTGCTTTGCCCTCACACCCATCACAGAATGGCCGAGGTTGGAAGGGACCTCTGGAGATATCTGGTCCAAACTCCCTGTCCATGCCCTACATCCCTGTCCCACCAGCCCCACAGACCTGTCCCAGGGTCAGGCTCAGTCAGATCTTTCCTTGCTGCTAAGGTGTGTGAGTGCTCCATGGATCCGTGCTGCATTTGCCAGACAAGGGAGTAAATAGTTCACATGAGTCTAAAAGTGTGTTTGGGAACCATCCTAGCCTGGCTATAGGTTAATTAGAACATATGAAGGTATGAAATTTGGCCTCCACTCCATGGCAGTGGAGAAAAGGCTGCTGACTGCACCCACAGATCTACAACAAATTTACATTCATATATTCCAGAGTGCCTTGGTGAATCATTGATGTTACGTGACAGAGAATGATCCAAAACAAACTCTTCCTCGTGGAAATCCAAGTTTATCCTCAAGCTATCACCCCTTCTAGTATCTCACTGTTGCAGCAAGTGCAAAAGCTGCTGACAGAGAGCTGAGCTTACTCCAGAAGTTTTCATCCTGCCCATTCCAGGATGTAATGTAGAGCCACATTTCTCTGCTCCTGTTGTTCGCAGTGGAAGAATTACAGAATTTGAAGGGAAAGCACTGAATGATTCAGTATACACAACTTCACTATGCAAATGTGCATGTGTAAGAATCTGAATTACTTGATTTGTTTGTTTCAACAGGTCAAAAAGACTATCAATAACATGGAACAGTGCTTGGAAGTGTTTCAGGAACAAGCTCTCGCTGAGTGAGTAAAGAATATCTGAGAGTTGAATACATAACAGAATTGAATTTGTGGGTTTATTAAAGATGTAAAACAAAATATTAATGATATGAGAAGCAAACATTATTTTTCAATTTCTTTGTCTGCTTTCTCTGCAAACTGTGAAGAGGTTACTAATAACTAAGACAACATGGCTTATCACAGTAATACCCTACTGACTGTATCTTACTTATTTAATTTTTTTAAATCTGCATATCTAAACAAAAGAGAAATGGTGAAACTATGCAGGGTTTTATTAAGATGTTAAGCAATTTTATTTTAAATGTTTTTCAAAAGTTGTTGCTAGGCTACAGCAGTATAAACACTGCTTTTAAAACATTCTGAAGCCTTAAAAACAAGGCTATTAATTGTTAAAGCTATAGTCCTATTTTTCATATGTAATAACCAAAATTGATCTACCAAGTATGAGGTGCACTTTTCCTCACAACAAAATCAACTTTTTTTTTACATAATCCAAATTTAATTGTTACAGTGTTTTAGTACAGCACAAACTATGGGGGAGATTTAAAAGAGGGCCTCATACCATCCAGCCTCTTCAAGGAACACAATGATATGAAGAGTACGTCCTGATACGATAAGCTGAATAGAATATTTATCTATTATAATTTATGAATAAACTTAATACCTCCTTTTCATATGAATGATTTCACTATATCATTATTACCACGAAGCAGCCCTAGGTCATATGGCACATATTGAGTATAAAAGAACTTAAAATAATAGAGACACACATATTCAATCAGACCTGGCCCGGGAAGGCTTTAATATGGTTTGAAAGTGTGCTCTGTTGTACTGAAGAACAATGTGTGCAGTTTTCATAATGGAACAGAAATAGTATGCAGCATTAAAATATATTCTGAACAATGTGGCCCTTTTTTTTGGCTCAGAGGGCCATTCTTTTTGTTAGTTATATGATTGGTAAATATCATAATTAAAATTAGAATTTAAAAATATAAAAATATTGTTATTTAAAACATCAAAAGCTCATTTTAAGAGTTCACTTCCTGCTGGCTTTAGTTGTAATTGACATATGTGAAATTTCAAGCCACTGCAGATGGATCTAGAGAGTGATATGTCCTATCATAAAACAGGTATTCTAGATAGCTGTTTATTTCCATTACCAATACAAAGAATCTGGAAGAGCAATTTAGGATACACATCTGATGATAGGAGATTAATGTTTCAGTCTGTGCTGACAGTATTGCAGAGATAATGCGGATAGCTTTCAAATTTGGGAAAACAGCTGAATAACGGTGGCAGAAATCATGGCAATTATCTGCCAGCTGCAAGATCCCATAAATCAAAAATTACCCATCCAAACATGTGTATGATTGTGTATGGCTGATAATTGTTAAATAAATTAATTTTAGTTCATATACAGGTAAAACATATTAGCGGAGTGCTATATCACAATCATTTTATATATTTCTTATTTTTAAAGCAACTTTTAAGAAGGGAAAATGAATTAATATTGGCTCTAGAAGCTGAGCTAAGGATCAAAAAATAATTAATGTATTTTATTTAAGATGAAAATCTTTGTTTACATTGTTCTGCATAAGTTTAGCATGTGTTTTTAGAAATATGGTCATACGTATTTTTCTATTTGTCAGCAAACCTGAGAGTAAGGACAAAATGCATGAACTAGAGACTGATAGTATGAACTAAATGTTTCTTGAAATTTCAGTTTCTAAATTACAATTTCTTTCTAAAGAGTATGGACAAGAATATTCTTTCTATGCCTATTAAGATACAATCATTAAAATTCAGATCTGTGCAGAACTCCAAAGCAAAAGGTGGATAAATAGAGCTAGGAAGATCTAACTAATACAAAAATCATTGTGTAATCACGACATTTGTCGTGAAGGACTAGAGTTGGTAAAACTTTTTGTCTGGGTTTTGGTTTGTCCACATTTGGAAACATCCAGATTTTTTATGCAAATAAATAGTTATTAATGACCACAGAATATGAATCATCTCTATCTTCACTAGTATAGAAATAAGAGTAAAATAAGGCTAAGAGTTTGTGTACATCACTTTAAAAATGAGTTGCTTTTAAGTGTTCTGAACTGTGTCAAAATCAATACAACAAAAAGAATAGATGCCACTTGTTAAATACAGGCCATCGCTTCCATGTGGGAAGGATGCATACGATGTATGCATTCAGCAATGGGGAATGCTGAATGCATATAGGTTCCCATACTTCTTCACTTCATGGGAACACTTGTGGTTTTTTTTTTTGTTTGTTTATATGATGGCATATTAAGCAAAAGATGCCAGAGTTCCACATTTTATATCCAGTGATAATTCTCATGGTTCTCATATGATATGATTGGCCATATTCTGAGTGGAATATAGTTAGCACTATTTTCAAAACACTAAAAGCATTAAAATAATAGTCACAGCAGCTCTCAGTACTTCTGTGGTGGTAAGTGGGGATAACAGCCACATACACCTTTATGCAGAACTGTGTGTAATGCCACAGCCATGTAACAGAGCACTTCTGGTAGCAGAACAGCTGCACTAACCTACAGCTTCAGGTACAGCTCTCCGGTTTTAGCCTAGAGGATCTAGGTAAAGAAGCAGACAAAGACGTTAAGGTGAAAACAGTAGAGCTGACAAGCTGTTTCAGAAAGGATTTTTCCATCAAGAGCCCCCTTTTATATACTGGTGGTTCTAAGTTCAGACAACATGCAAGAACTGGTGAAAGTTGTCTTTGAACATCTGCAGAACTTGCCTTGTGAGGGTTGATCTAAAAGGACAGATGAAACAACTCAAGAAGGGAAGATGTCTGCCATGGTGACATACCATAGAATGGTAGTCTGATGATCCAGGGTGGAGAGTGCATTTGCACTGGCACAGCAATGTTTAGATGATCCATATAAAACACAGTGAAGAAGGTACCTACTTCTGAAGGCTAAAATCAGATAGCTGAGTCACTGCTCATTGCTCACCAATGTGTTTCCACCTGACAATACCTGAGGCTGGAAGGGCACCAGTGCTTAAACAGCAGCATCAAATGAAAGGTAGTCCTGATGCAGTACAGCTTCATCCTCTGTTTTTAAAATCCTGTTTCATATTTCCCCAGTTCCCCCCAGAGGAAGGGGGGAAGTTTGCTGCATCATTAATGCAATTCTGAGATGAGTTTCAGGCATTTTGGGGTGCAGGGGAAACATTTTTTTTTCTGATATGTGCATACAGTATACTGCTTGGCTTGCATTTTGGTAACTATTACCCTATGGTTGATATTAAATGTTAAAATGGCAGTGCTAACGGTTTTAACATTAAAAGGCATTACGATTTCTGTATATTTATAAAACCTTTCCAAGTTTAACAGGTTTGCAGATTTGAGTTTCTGTAATAATTATCAAAACATGGCATATGCATCACTTAAGCGCCAAGAAAATGTGTTCAATAAACACTTTTCCATGTTAAGGAACTATTTTATTATTTTTTTTTACTGTACTGCAGTTAGAATTTGAGCATGCAAGACACGTGGAATGTGTGGGGCAAGCATTTCACTTGAGCATATCCTACAGACAGGGAACTTCAGTGTGTCTGCATGGGCACTGGGAGGGCAGGAAACTGGGGAGCTGGCTGAACAGGTGGGATATGGAAGATTACCAGAAAAGAAAGGAAACATTTTCCACAGGGGCATTTTTATCCACGGCATTTGCCATTTTGAACAAGGTTGTTTACTTGAAACAAGTGCTGGTGTTTACCTGAGAAGGTGGTATCAACCACCAGGAGTAAAACATGTGAGTACATGTACTGTGTTCTTCAGCGATGTGCTGGCAGCACACCCAGCAGCTGAAGTCTCCCTGGCATTAGGGGTATTACCTCTGAGTGCTTGCCTTGCTTTGTGCTTGAATACATGAAGTTCTGCTAAAATAGCATTCCTAGTTGCTTGGTACATTCTTGGTTGCAGTGACCCCCCCCAAAAAAAATAAACCAGATTGTAACGTACATGACACAAAGCAGCATCCTGTGCTAATTTTGGATACTGAAATCCTCTTTGATACTTCGTAGGACTGAGCAGTTACAGGCACTTTGCTGTGTGGTTTTTCATTAACCCTGTTGTACTTTACTGCTACATTATGCAGATGCTGCACTGTCTTTTGTCTCTGTGTGACCATCTTTATGGCAATTATTTCATAAATAGTCAATTTACAGGTCCAGTCAGAAGGAGAGGAAGAAAAGCTAGGAAATACTGAAGAATTAATAAAAGAAATAGCTAAGGTCATTCTAGCAAACCATCATGCCATAGAGGTATTAGAATGACTGCAAACTGATAAGTGATCATGAAGGCATGTGCCACACAGATGTATGTACCATCAGCAGTAGAGAGAATATATAACTTTTAAAACTGCATAAATTAAAGCACTATAACTGCTGACTGTTACTCTTAGTTTTTTTGTTTTTAGAACAGGTCAGTAAGATAAATGATACTTTTGAGAGGAAAATATAACATGGCAAAACTCAAAACAATGACACAACATTCTTAGCTTATTTTAAATAAGAGATGTCTATCAGAAGGCTAAATATATTATCATGAAATGTAATAGGTTTCAGTACATTTTTATATCATTTTAGATTAACAAATTTATGAAATAATACAGTTGCTGGTTTAATCAACAGGAAATTCAATGTAGGCTTGTAGCCAACCCCCCAAAAAAGTAATAAGAGGCTTGAAAATCATGCAACGGTATGAGGAAATGGAAATTACATTTAGATTAAACTTTAATTGTGCAATGAATAAGCACTGTGACAGATTAAAAAAAAAAAAAAGGCGAAGAGAAAACAGGCGTACCACTGTTTACTAATTGCATATTCTATTGAGATAAGAGGGAGACGGTTAACACTGAAGAAACAGCACAATGTAATTTACTTTTACTTTCACGTAGGTGTGGCAGTTTCATATTTCATGTAAATATGACAGATGTGGATTGGATACACTAATCTCTAAATTGTTGTGGAGGGAAAATGTAGAAATTTTCACAATACTCAGATAATACCTGATAATAATGAGGGGTTTAAGTGAGATTTTTTTTTTCATGATCAAGATAAGATTGCAGTGACTAAAGGTAGCACATTTCAATACTTCCCAGTATGTGATAAAGATAAGATAGAGATAGGTATTCTAAAGAAAATACTAGAGCTGCATATTGGGGCAATTTATGAATATAATCTCTTATTAAATCAAGCAAAAATATTTTAAAGCAATTAAAACTAGAACAGGAAACAAGGAAGGTATTAAAAAGTTATAAGAAAAAGCAGATAAGAAAGTTTATTAACTAATATGAGAAGGAGATATGCAAATAAAAGATGCCACTAAAGAAAATTGCGAGGAAAGCAGATGTTTACTTGCTGAAAGTGAAATGAAAGAGATGTTGTTCCTGAAAAGTGTAAAGATTCAATACAGTATTCCACTGGTTAAAAACAATCAACGAAAGATTTTCCTTCACTCTTGTGAGATAAATGCCACTTAGTATAATGCCACTTGGTACTTAGTATAAAAGTATCTCCATCTCACATCCTATGGGCTCTGAACACAGTAAAAATGCTTAGAAGTTGTGGGATTTTCAAAGAAATACAAGGTTGATAAATATAGCTTCCTTTCAAGAAATGACAAGAAGTGAGTGTTACAGTGGTAAGTCTGCCAAAGGCTTTTATCAAAATACTGCCTTAACTATTTCTGATCTGGTATCTCAGTTTAAGTAAACTGAGGTCAAAATGAAGTTTTCAGTGACTTACAAATACTGATTTTTGGTGATGTGTGATTAGTCATAGTGATAGAGGATAATCTGATTGTTTTTTTCCTATATAACTTGATGAAAATTAAGTTTTATAGAAACTTTATAGGCACTCTGACATAGTTAAGGAATTTGTTCAACAGCTAAGTTTTCTTTATAGCTGTCCAAAACCAGCCCTGAGTTTTAATGGAATAAAATTCCCCTGCTTTATTATATGGAGGAATTAGGCAGGAGTGTACATGGTCTCATTTCTCTTTTTCCCAAACCCTAGAATCCTAGGTTAAATGGATAAGAAGCTGTGAGTCAGAAAAATAAAATAGCTAGGAACATTTCAATAAACAAATGAATTATCTTGTGATTTTCTTTTTCCTAACTGGAGTATTTCACTGCAAATTTTATAGAACCATGAGTTCTATAAAGATTCTGACTTTTAACAAAATCGTTGCAATTCTGCAATGCCAGATATAATTTCACAGATTGAGTGAAACTCCCAGTTCAGAAAACAATTGAGTTTATTGGGCAATAAATTCTCCAAAATACTTACAGAAAAAAATCTCATATACAGAGAAGAACAGTATAATTTAGACGTAAAACAGTCATTTCTACAAATAAAAAGTTTAGAGTGCAGAAATAATTGTTCAATCTCTTGCATAAAATGTATCCAGAACCAAATATTCTATAATGTATATCTTACTTCAGTTTTTTCTTACATTCATCATCAAATACAAAGTTTGGATTTACATGGAATAAAGAAAGCTTCATATTATTCAGATGCTTTTTATGTACCTGCTAAATGGTGTATGCCATCTGATTTCAACAGTTTGACACTGTCCAGTGTTTAATTTTGTTAAATTAATATGCTGTTCCTCCATAATAGTAAGTATAAGAGGGCAACTTTGACTGCTTTATGTTTCTGATACACCTATATATTCTGTTTACATCCTAATATATATATATTAACTATATATTTTGATGCTTATGACACATCATATTTCTAAAGGAGTGACACAAAAAATACTCCATCACTGGTGATGAAGTTATCATGTAAGGGATGTATTACAAATTCAACCTCAGAAGTTTGGAAAAATTCTAACGTTTATGTTAAATCCAGCACATGGTCTCCCAAAGATAAGTTCAATTTCAAAATGTGCTCACTTCTGTGGTTGCTAATAGAATTAAACCTTACTAGTATTATAGAAGTTGTCTTATTCCATTTTCTACAAAGAGATTGGGAAAACAGAGGGTAAAAGTAGAGCTAGCAATCAAGAACAGTGGCTAGCTTTCAAGCCAACTGTTTAATAACTTCTTCCAGCAAACTGCCTCTATCCTTAGTGGAAAGTCCTGTGCCCACGTGCAGTTTAATATTCAGATTGTCCTACTATTGTCCTTTTAGGTTTAAGCTTGGAAACTTTCTACTTAACTTATGCTCATTTGACAGTTCCTACCTGACAGACTGAGAGGATATCAAACAGCCTTTAAGCTAGGCAAAAGATCCACAATGTACTAAATATTCCCATTTGGACTTTGGACAAATTTAAGATCTAATTTTTGAAGGCATCATTTAGCTTTTTTATTTCTTTCTATCTGATGTTGAAAAATGATGATCTTCATCAGAAGTAAAATCAAGTCTTACCAATATAAATAGATATTTACTTTCCGCCTTACTCTGTGTTTGAAAAAATAAATCCATTTTTTATTATTACTAGAGCCTCTCCGTGTGACACTCAACTTCAGGAGTTACTGCATCAAATTGACATCACAGTAAACAGCAAAAAAGTGGAATGGGAAAGGAAGATGAAAGCTTTGGAAGCAAAGATGGATATCCAGGATCAAGAACTAGCAAGAGCCCAAAGCAAACTGGATCAAAAAGGTCAAGAGGTATTTTAAAATGTCACATTCTATAAAGTATTTATTCTGAGAGGTAGTTAATAGTACGCTCAAAATGCTCTATAAGTAGGCTTGTTTGTTCTATCATGTAAAAATACCAAACACCCTTTAAAGGTCACTAATTACTCTTACTGTTTTGTTTTAAAGTGTGCTTCTGTTCTGAAAAGTATTTGTAAAAATGTCATTGAAAGTCCCGTGATTCTTCTATTTCCCTAAAGTCTAAATCAAATAGTTTAGTTGAAAAAAGATATTGTTTTTTTTTTTTTTTTTTTTTTTTTTTTTTTTTCCTAAATGCCAATGCGTCTAGTTTCGTCAGGTATTTTAAAAGGAGATGTACAGTTCAAAAGTTTGACAAAATTATGTATTTGTAATTCATGTTTATACTCCATTTTTATCATTTTACATTCTGTACTGGCTAAATGGTAATTTTATTATTAATAGTGGAGATATGAATTATCACCACTTAGAATTGCTTATCAAACTGAAAACCCCAGAGTACCTGACATCATCTGTACTTCCCAGTCAAGTCTGCTGAATATTCATTCAGAAGTATTCGTGATCCTAGCATGACATTCAGCTCTAGTTCAAGACATCTGAAGTTAAGTGTTTACACATAGGTCTCCTCTTGTGAGCTAGTTGTCTAAAGTGCCAGTGGGAGTCTTGAAAATGCTATCTCACTCCCTAATGAGCAATTACCAGAACTTACCCTTTGTCATTGCAGTCAGAGGAGCCAAGAGAATAACTCAGCTAGCCAATACCCAAAACATCTATTTATTTGCCCATGAACAGATGTTATCTGAAATATTTTAGCATATTCCAACTGGCTTCCAGCTGCCTCTCCAGAAAAACTTAGGTGTCATGTGTGCTCTTTGTCATATTTCTCAGATCTTTGTGAAAATCTCAGATAATTCAAGATATGTCAAATAGCACTGTACTTAGGGAAATGAAATAGGTCTAAAATGTCTCATGATAATTTGAACATAAGTAATTGAAAGTAATTTATATGATTATATAAACCATTCAAACAAAATTTTCACACTGGTGCACAGCAGTTCATTTATGTGGTTGGTTCAGAAATGCTTTCATTAAAAGGTCTTGACAGACATACTATATTATCATTAAATCATAATATAAGCATACAATGAGTTTTTTTTACTATAAAATCCCTATCTTGATGTTGCTGCCATCTGGGTTTGTGGTGTCCAGATTTATTATTAAGTTACTGAATGAATACGTATTTTTAATATTTACCTTTTATGCAACAGTCTTTCAAAATTTCAAATGACTTTCAAAAATAATGTATATGGAACACTTCCGAAAAGGTAAAAGTGAATGCTTATTCTAACTGTAGGTGGGACTACTTCAGCAGAAACTGGAAAACTTACAGAAAAATAAGTATGAAATGGCTCAGAGTTATGAAACGCAGCTTCAAGCACTGAAATCTCAAGTAAGGAAAATGACAGTTTCATTATTTTCTGATTGCATTAGAAAAAAACTTATACATGCCTAATGGTATAGATTTTATGGATTTTATAAAACCTTTATGGATTTGGGAAATACGAATTGTGTCATGCTAATGATGATGACTACAACTTCTTACCTGACTTCATTGTCATTACTGTACTGACATGTCCAAACTCTTTGGATGGATCTTGATGTGATTATGACTTCTGTTATGAAGACAAGTATTAGGTTTTCTGATCATGGAATAATAACTTAAAACCTTGGTGAATTAATAGAACAGATAATTAGATTCATGCTAATAAGACTGGGATGCACATTAGGGATTTGAAGACTTAAACTGTTCTCGTCACATCTTTGCTATAGATTTTTTTCTGGGTTTAGTTTGCCTGGTTTACAGGGATTATTAGAGGCTTGATCATTTTCTATAAGTGAACATAGTATCAAAACTACAGCAACCTGGAATATTGTTACTGTGGATTTGTTTTGCCTTTATTTATTGGCTGTTTGCTCTGTGCCTGTGCTTTTGTTCTTCATTATTTTCCACTTCAGGTACAAATCTAAATTCTTAGCAAGCTTGAGCCTATTCTAATTATCAGATTTAACAAGTTAACATACAAAATTCTAATTTTTTTCCTGTTGTTCTACTGTTTCCTTCACTGAATTCTCCTACCAAACATTTAGTAATTAAAATTTTCCAGCAATCACACTTACCACAGAATTGTCTTAGATTGTTTAAATTGGAAATCATTATTTTCATTTAGAGGTGGTAACACTTCTTGCCCACAGTCCATCAAACCAATAAATGTATAATTTACTTTAAAGATTGTGTTTTCTCTCATTTATTTTTTCTTTTATATGTTGAAACTGATTTGGCAAACAGTTCTGAGAGTAAGCAGAGATTGTTTTGGTTAATATGTAATTAACACTTTTAATCATTTAAGAAAGTGGCTAGAAACAAAAGCTGTTTTATAGTTTGCACATATTACAGAGAAAGAAACAACGTCTAACATGGTTGTTGAGAAGTTAAGCATTAGACAACGAAAAATGGTGTGATGTGCCTTTAGCAGTACAGAACGGTCTCCAAAACTGTAGCAGATTGCTCTTTCTTCATCCTTTGTCACATTTCCTGCAATGTATTTCACTTCTTAGATTTTTTTTGTCTCATGCTAAAAATGGCTGCTTTTAAGTTACATGTTTTTGCTAAGATCTTCGCTATTCTTTATGGAATTTAAACTCTGGGTCATTTTTCATAAAGCTTTTGATTTTGAAGTTGTTACTCACCTTACGCATCCTTCTCAGGAGCAAATACAATTTGTTTTCTCTTTGTGTTTGTTTTTTGTTTGTTTGATTGATTGTTTGTTTTAAAGAATCTGACACTTTACCTTCAAGTTTCTCTGTGTAACTGGTTGCGCTTCTTGCTGAGATTCTTCTTTTCAGTTCCTATTTTGACCATCTAACCTTTCTGTGAGTGCCCAGATTGCTACTCCTTTCATCTTTATGCAAGAAGTTTTGATTTCTGGCTCTTAATATACATCACTTTCCCAACCGGTGTCATCCACCACTTCCTTGTCTTTCAGGCATCCTATTTTATCAAAGGTTCTAGCACGGATGCCATTTGCATTTCATTTTCCAGTGCCTATTCCTCCTCTTTCACCAACCTTAATTCTTCATGAGGTATCCATCCTGTACACAGTGACTGAAGAACTGCAAGTGCCTAAGTTAGGAAACCTTCCTAGATTCTCTGTGAGACAAACAGAAAGTTTATCTGTCAAAACAATTCCAAATGCTTATGCTAGGCAGTAGGACTGTCCCACTCTGCTGTTCTAGCTTTCACCAAATCTCCTTGTTAAGCTTCTTTCTTAAATGACAGTGCTGCACAGTCTCCGCTATAGAATGACTTTAATGTCCCCAATTTTAGGCTGCACAAAGTCATATCTAAAATATTGAGCTCCACTGAAAATATTAATCTTTACCCTGTGTCCTTTGTCTCCTTTCTTTTGGTTCTTACCTTCACTTGAAAATTACACCTTCTCCGGTGTATATTAAGAGCTACAATTTAATGTTGCACATATGGCGTGTTACTGTTTACCCAGTAGCATTGTGTTTTCCGTGGAGATGTTTTCTTATAATCCCTCCCAGTTTTTCTTCCATCCTAATCTTAATAGAAACAGTAAGGATTGCTTTTTCTAGCTCTAAGAAAGTTAAGGCCATTTAGAACAAATTTCTCCATGATAACACTGCGTCTGTGGACCTCAGTGCTTTTTACCCTTGATACTAATAAAAGCAGCTGTTTAATGAGTAACATTCCCACAGAATTCATTATGTGCTTGCCGAATGCAGTAAAACCTTTTTTTTTTTTACTGTTTTTTTTTTCCTATTAGGGAAATAATTCCTGCTATGTAACCTGAAACTCTTAGGCCACACTGTTGCACTCATCCACATATATATGTACAGCATTTTGTCATAATGTAAAAAGCAAAAATTTTACGGGTTTATCTCTATTACTTTCTTCTCTCTCTTTTTCTTTTTCTATAGAGATACTTAGTAGTCATTCGCACTTTGAAAATGAGAGAAAACCTTCAGAAAAAGAAAAAGAATCCATTCTTGCTCTAAGCACTTCAACAACTAAGTGCATTTAAAAGTTAAATGTCTAAGTCTGAGCTACCTCAGAATCGATGGAAGGAATTGGACACCCCTAGAATATAATGCATTCCATTGTCTGGTGAGAATTTAAAATAGCTGAAATGCCTAAGCATTTGGAGATAGTTCTTTCTAATTCAGAGTAGCTCAGGCTTGGATGTCTAACTTTCAGAAATCTGAACTTAGATGAATCTCACCCTAGAAGTCACTAAAACTCATTCCTTCTCTGCCCCCAGATGGGAGGATTCTTGGCTTTTAGTCTAGTTTCTAGTCAGGATAACATCCAGACTATAATCTTTATTAAATATCCGCATTTCATTAAATTAATCAAATATGAAAACTCATTTTTTCTCATTTTGTGTGTTCCATTTTAGATTGATCTGCTGGAGTGTTGAAGTCCTACATTTCCTAGCCTTTCTAGCATGACCAGTCTAGTACTGGTCTTCATCTGGGTTTGCTCTTCCCAGGCAGTTTCCATATGCCATCGTATATTCAAGAGCAAAACTCCTGTTAGTTGAAAACAGATATCTTTCTTCCAAAGGCAGTGAGTTCCATGTTATATGAGCTTGGATAATCTGACACATTTTAAATCTCACCCTTTATTCCATCTCACCTGTGTTCTCTGGCAAGGTCCATTTCAAATATAGGCAGCATCTCTACAAGACTTTTACTTTAATTAAAAGGTGAGCTTTCAGCTCTGTAAGTCCATGTTATAAGATTTCTATTCAGAAATTCCAAGTTGGTCAGATCTATTCCTGGATCTCACCATTTCATGACACTTCCTAGTTTATGACTGTCTACCTGCTGGTCATCTTTTCAATTCCTTTCTCTATTCCCTCTTACAGGTTCCTCAAATTATCTCAAATATCTCTAGGAGGTTTCCACATGATTTCTTAACTCCCATATCTGTTTTTCTGGACCTTCTGTGCAGACCTCAATTACTCATTCATTGGTTCAATAGGATTCCATTTCAGTTTTGTTATTTTTCCCCTTTGGGAGTTATTTCTTTTCCAGACAGTAGTTTGCCTTAGAGCTGAACAAAAACATGGAGTTTTTATGGATTTTATTTGAAAATCATGTTAGAGTCAAAATTTTTAAAGTGAAGCTGTAATTATTACAAAGAATGTAAACTATCATGTATACCTGAATTTAAAAGAGCCAAAAAACAAGATACATGAGCAGTATTCATAGTTGTAAGCTTCTTTTCTAGTCAATATTCTTTGCAAAGTTCTTTCACTTAGCTTTCCTCAAGATCATATATTTAGTGTTTCCTTTGATGAAGTCCTTGGTTTTCTTTTTTTTTCAAAACAAGATGTACATATCTTTGAGCAACCTGATGTGGTGGGAGGTGTCCCTGCCCATGGCAGGGGGGTTGGAATTAGATGGTCTTTAAGGTCCCTTCCAACCCAAACCATTCTGTGATTCTATGACCTCTACCAGACAATGGCAATCTCTATTATATCAAACCTACATGTATAAACATCCATAGCCCCTTTGCTTGTGTAGTGCAGCAAACTGTTCAGAGTGGCCATTCTTCTGAAGAGGCTGGTACTTCTGCTGGTACCTTCACTTCTTTTTCCTCTGAGTCCAAAGCCACGCTATCATGGTAAGATCAATAGGCAGAACACTATTTAGGGTCCAATTCTCATAGATGCTCTTTGGTATTTCCTGATTCCAGAAGAAAGCAATCATCCTATCCATAGCATTTCAACAGTTTTTGCAATAGAAGAGAAACATGCGAGTTTAAAATATGTTAATGATAATCCTTCGTTCTGGTTAGTGAAGCACCCTTTAAAAATGTCAACACAAGATGGCAGTAAACAAGTGTAAAACATTTCATATAAACAGCAGAGGAAATGACACGATGGATAATAGTACCATAAAAAACTTCAGCAGAAATAGCTGCCAGATGAACCTATCTGAACAGTTAGTTAACATTTATGTGAGATCTTAGTCTTGTTCAGCTAAGAAATTAATTTTATTAATTGATTCTTTGTTGTATTGATTAAATATTTAGATTGTTGAAGCTGCAGTTGGCAATTCTAGTATAAAGAAAACCTTGCCCATGTGGTCAGCCTTTACAGATTCTGCATGTTCATTTCTGCTTTCATTTTTAGTTTTCAAAGCTGACACATAGTTATGAAAAGCTACGGTTACACCAGTTAAAACAAAAAGATCTTCAAAGTAGAGGAAAATGTGAGGAAAGCCTAGAGACACCAATTGAATTGAGTAACTTAAGCAAGAAATTGGAGGTAAGAATACTTTGTCATTATATTCTACTTTTAATATCCATTTAGAAATAATTTGTGGATTTAAGTCAAAACTTTAAATTTCTGCTTATTCTACAAAAATTATAAAATTGTCTTCAACTGGCAAGAGAAGGTGCGTAGTTTGATATCCAGGTTTTGTTCCCTCACTCAAGTTTTAGTAATGTTTTTAGTAGCTTTAAGAGGTAATAGATAGAATTTGCTTCATAAATGTATCTACAGATAAATTTTACTTCCTTCCTGATTAATATATTTAAACTGAATAGTATCCATTGAGGCATCAGAGATTTTACATATGCAGGATATTGTCACATGATACCTACCATTAATTTAGGTTTATAGACTTCAGGACAACTTTGATTGTGTAGGGCTAGATAGAAAATGGATTTAGGGTTGAAAAATTGCTTGTTATACACATATCTTGTCAGCACCTATGTGCCTGAGGCAATCCACAGCCTAGGTCTCAGTGTCTGATTCTCCTAGGTCACACATTAGGAAGGATAAGGCACTGAAAAATACAGTCCGCAGAATCCAATATACTGAGTGGGGGACTAGATAATGTGTGACGCTGAGGATAGGATTCAGTTACATTTCCTATCCATCCAGACACAGAAGGGATTTTAGCTGACTTATTCATGGATACCGGAAGATGCTGATCTCAGATCAGAATTCCCAGCCTTGACTTGTCATTGTTTGCGGTTACTTTGTGACCTGTGGAATAACCAAATATTTACTGGGCCAATAGGAGAATTAGCTAGCACAGAGAAATGGCATGTATAGACTGTGCCTCTATATGGTGGCTTCTTAAATACTGATGGGTACATTCGCTGGCTCAGAAACTTGGATCCAGTCTCACCTCTGATAACGGAGCAATCTAATCTCTAGCTGTACTCATTTTCCTTTCTTCTTCCTTGCTTATCTAATAGATTTTCTAGGATCCTATGTAAAGTGAAACTTCAAAAGGAGGAATTACAGTGCCTGATGAAAATTAATATATAGTATAGTATGTAGAAAAATAACTTGGGAAGACTCTGGTTCAGATTCTGTTTGGAGAGATTTTGGAAGATTACTAAACCGAGTCTCCCCCATATTAGGAGAACAGTCTAACCACTAGTCTCATGTAGCATAGAAGGATCAGGAAAAAAAAAAAAAATTATCTGCTATCCTTTGCAGAAAGCATGATAAAGTACTGTGTGCTTCAAGCATTTACTACACTGTGTCCTGTAGGGAAAGTAAACAGAGGAAACTAGTGGAAACTAAGCGTGAACTAGTTACCTAGCTGTTAAGCATTGTGAAGACTTAGAGACTCATGATTTAGATTTATGTAAATTTATGCTGTAGATAGTTTACATACTTAGAGAACTTCTCAATCAAAAAAATTAAGATCTAATAGATTTTAAGTACTTTCATAATACTTAAGCTGCAATTAAGCAGAATTTTAGGATATATATTTTGAATTTGCCTATCTTCTCTGTTACACTGAAGGATATAGGACACATAAATGTTGATGTCTCTTCTACATGGAAGAGTCCTTGTCATCAGAAAAGCTGCTAGGCCTTGGACTTCAGCATAGCTGCCAACACGCGCTACTACAAGAATAATAAATGGGTTATACAACCATTGTTGACTAAATATATCGCTACTGTGAAACTGTCTGATCCAGCTAATTTGAGAATGACCTTATTCAAGATTGAAATGTGAAAATAATGTAACACAATGCTATCATTTGATTAATTATGCAGTATGAAAAATGAGTGCTTGGAATATATACAGCAAATTCTAGTATTCAGGAAATAATTACGGTGCTGAAAATCTACTAAGCTCAGCAGTGCTTTAGTAAGGCCTTGAATCTGCAGTCCTCATTTAGTAGTCTGAAAGTCCTTTTGTATCACGTTTTGCTAAAAGGGGAAGATTTTAGTTGGTTTAAAATACCAAAGCAGGTATTAGGAAAGCTAAGACTTGTATTAGTGTATGTTAGCAAACATTTGATTTAATTTCACTTGCAAATAAATTCTTATTTTTTAAAATTCAAGGAATATGCCAATTTAGGCATAATTATAAAAACTCATCTACCTTTTTGGGACCAACAATTCCATTGTTAAAAAGGAAAATTTTTATAAAAGTGTATCAAACAGTATACTTTTATGTTGGTAATTCTTCATGCAAAGAAAAACAGCACCAACTTTAGTAATTCTGGAGTTCTACTTACTTGGTATGATACTGCCTTAAAGATCAGTCATGAACATACAAGGTCTGGTACGATAGAAAAGGAAATTCAAATACAGTATAAATAGGAATGTAAATACAAATACAAGACCTGTTATACTAGAGCTTGCTAAACAAGTTTTTATTTAAACTAGGTGAATTTAGATGAAAAATTCTGAACCTGAAGCAGCAATCGAAAAGAGAGCAAGAAGTAAAAATTATTCACTGTAGTTGTTTTCCCTGTTGTTCAAGAAAAAGAACAAAAAAGAAGGCACTCAAAACATTTGTCTGAATATTAATATTAATCCATGCTGATTACTCTACTTTACTTCAAACTCACAGGAACTACCCTGCAATAAAATTGGACTGTTGTTTACAGTCACAACTCTTAAGATCTACCCTAATTTTAAGTGACTTGAAATATTTTGAATATTTGAATATTTCTATTCAATGATTATGTTTACCACTGAAGTTTTTCGGATTAACAGCCCTTAAGACTGTTTTTTCTGGTGACGGTGGCTGGTGGCTGGATGGCTTTTTATATGACTGTTCTTTTAATCTTCTTTATGAAATTATGGAAAGACTATGTATTAACTATAAAACTGTATTTTTCTTAGAACCATACAAATTACAAAATTATTTAGATTAAGGAAAAGAAGTAGTTCTCCCTCTACTCAGTAACCTTGTTTTGCTGTCTTTCAGGAATTTAAAGCAAAATCAAGAGAATGGGATAAGAAAGGGACAATCTGCCAAAATCATCTCATATATTTAGATGCTCAGCAAAAATTATTGTCTGAGAAATGTAATTTATTTCAGGTAAAATAAGAAGCTTTAGAAGGAATATGAGAATTAAATGAGCAGTTAGTTCAGCTAGTATTATTTACAACTTATTTTTAAAAATTTAAATGTACTACTAAGCTTATAGTATCAAAAATTAATATGGATACATTGTTTTAAGGCAAATCCATACTGAAAGATTTACTGATTCATACAATTATTTTTTTTCCTCATTTTATGTGCATAAATATCATGATGAAAAATAGAATATTTCTGATAAAGATAACTGCAAAATGCAATGCTTTTTACTTTTTTAAGTATACTCTGAGCATACTTTTATCTTCTATGCTATCTATTAATATGCAATTAATTGCAATGACAAGTTACCGATAAGTATCTTACAAAGTAAGCAGTACATGCCACTCCTAATCTACAAGTAAATCCCCTCTAATCTAAGATATCCCTTACTTTTTGAAGTTCATAAATAAACAGTATAATTTATAAAGAAATTTGAATTCCTATGTGCTGTTCCAAAATCACACTTGGAAATGTTTGTTGGATCACTTACCCCTTTTTGATCATATTTTTCAGCTTTCAAGTTACCGTTCAAGTTACCATGGCTGGCTTTGTGATCCTTTTTAACTTGCCAATTTATTACTTTTTTTTTTTACATTGCCTATTGATCTACCGTTTTTTTTTAATTCCTTCCATTCCAGAATGAAATATTGATTTCATGCTTTCTTGATAACATATCCTGCTCTGAAAAAAAAAAATCAAGAAATAACTAAAAAAATAATGGGTCTACAAGACAGCTCAATAATGAAGTACAGGGAAGCCAATTACGTTGCTGACTGGTAATCCTCTTTTCCACTGGGACTAAGTTCATTGGATCTTAATCTAGTGAAACACTTTCTTAATGATTCATATGAGACTCTTTACCCATATCCAGCATTTCCAAGGATGACAGTTACGTTTCATTTACAGATGCTGAAAGCACTATATTGCAATTATTGAACTTTCATACAAAGGTGTGAAAAAAAGCAAGGCTTTGACTAGACAAATCTACTGACTGATGTATGTGGAGGTGATTATATAATTAGACGAGTCAAAGTAGATTGCACAAGATGATCTTTCTTTCGAGGTTCACATGACTGTCATCAGTGAACTTTCTTTGAAGACAGATTTCATTGTAACTGCAACATCACACTGGCTAGTTTATTAATTACAAAGCTGATGGAGTGTTTCAAAAGCATTAATTTGTCCTGTGTCTTTGCCCCAAATTCCTTTTCTGTGAGTTTTTGATTTCCAGATGGAGATGTGCCCTTTTTTTCACAGGATGCTTTGACATTATGGTATGTCAAACTCCATAATTTATATTTCAGGGGACCTTAATTTATTATCTGTATAAATTAAACTTACCTGCCAATTTCTTTAGGCTTTTTATTTAATATGCAGCCAGTGGCCACTTCTACTTATGTGTTCAGCCAACACAAATTATGAGAACATAGTGAAATCAAAAGAGTCTAAAGAATGCCTTTTTGCAGTCCCAAATACAGCATTTGTAGCATGAGTGTTTATGTTTAATGTAAGTTTTCTTGCTCAACTTGATCTCTGCACTTGATATATGTTTTGTAGGTTTTATTTTGTTGTCATTTTTCAGCTAATTCTCAGTCTTCTGAAAGAGTACTGCTACTGTGTCCCAGTAGGAGCATCCATATGGATTTTTTAAACAGTTACTATAGGTATTTTGGTTCTTCACAATGCCCGTGAATTCACAAATACCACCAATAGCAATTTTCTAAAGTTTTTTTTTTAGGACTCTTTAATCAGTACAAGAAACTGAATGGAGTTTGTGACTGCTTCTAGAGATGCCGAATGTGCAAATGATTTTTGCACAAGATTAATGATAACGATATCAAGGGAGTACAGTTACTGTAGTAACTGAGCTGTTTATACATAAACTACGTAATACTAGCCTTCTAGTCAAAGGTTAATTCTGATCCTGAGGCACATACACACAATTCCTACTGAGTTCATTGTATCAAAGAGCAACATTTCTCCCCCCAAAATGTTATAGTTAACTGCTTTGAGTTAGATCGTCGTAATCACCCTTTTACATTTAGGGCTAATATTAAGTGCTAGGAAAAAAACACAACAGAGGAGAAAAATCCTTGAAAAGTCTGTAACCTTGTAAGTTTCTGAAATATTCTCACTGAAGGTAAGGAACTTGAGGCTCAAGGAAGATAATATCATTTCGAGAAGTAATGCAAACTGTTCTATTAATGTCATCTTTTCTAAGAAAAACCTGGTGAAGAAAACGAAAATAGCTTCGTGATTTTAGTAGTAATGGTTTGACCATAACAATATAGATGTAATTATTTAATTTCATTAAAAGAGTTTTACTGTTTTATAGAAGCAGACCAAGAGTTATCAATTCCAGATAAGCAATAAGAAACAGAATCAAGAAGAGGTAATTACATATGGCCATCCTGCAAGTGAAAAGGATGAGTTAATTACTGAAAAGCTAAAGGCAGCTGTGAATGAAATAGCAATACACAGGAACAGACTACAAGAGGAAAATCTGAAACTCCAGGAGGATCTAAAAATGTTCCAAAAACAGTGCCAGGTAATGATAGTTTTTCTTTTCTATAACTACTGTGGTATAAATGTTGGAGCATTAATTACTTACAGGTATACTTTCAAAAGTGGTACTGGCATGCCTATGTAAAATATCTATACAAGCATCGTATATAATTTTTTTGCAGGAGCACAGAATGAGCTGTGAACAGTAAATTTTTATTGAGTAATACATGAAAACAAAAATGTTTGATATACAGTAGCACATTTTATTCATATCTGTTTATCTAGGTTTTTATAGCTTTCCTATCCCTGTAGCAGACGGAAAGTGAATTGTTTACTTCACTTGGTTCCTTGTATAAAAATTACTTCTGTAAAATTTCTTTATCTTGTTACCTCTTTTTGTACAAACTGTCCTACTAAACTGACTATACCTACTAAATATTTATATTCAAAAGCCTATGCTATACTTTGTTGTTGTAAGAATATTTTTCAGTGCAATGAATTTCTAAGTTGCCAACCATGTGAAGACCCATCAGTTTTTATCTTAGCCTACTGCTTTTTTGCAGATGATATATGAAGACAGCTATTTGGGTCTCTTCTTTTGTTCATAATCTATGAATTTTGACAAGATTGAAATAATACAAGATCTCTTCAGACTTTTTTATTAGTGAAGTTTGAAACAGATCTGGAATAAGATTCTCATTTCCATATTTTTCTGGTAACATACCCCTGCTTATTTATTTAAGCACTTCAATATTCACTAATATATAGAGAGAACTGTAGTGACTTTAACTCTTTCTCTTGAAAGATAATCTATTTCTCTTAATAGACAATCTTGCTGAGTTTTAACTTCAGTTGCAATATACGGTAATTAACATATACATGCTGGAGATTATTTTCAGGTGTTGTCAGAACAACCAAGTTTTGTACACATGATGTTTATACATTTAATTCACACATTAGTTCCCTGAGTCATTTGCTTGCATGCAAGTTATCAGTATGCAAGCAAAAAAATCTGAGGCCTGTTAAAAAGGTTCCAATTAATAGTAGCAGGATTAGATATATTTAGAGTGGAACAGAACATAGAGATTGGAGCAAGTAGGCAGATGTTGTAGAGAGTACATGGCATCATGCTGTAGCCTTCTTTAAGAAAATCTTCAAGAAAGAGGATTTTTGGAATTGTGTGAACAGAATGTGAAGAGTTTTAATTGGAAGCGGAGCTAGATACATGTAATACTATTGGCTAAAGAGCAGAAAGCTGCAGAATAACTGTGGTCTTCTTGTGAGATAATTGCTGTGTTAGGGAGAAAAGCTGTATTTGCCAACAGCTGCAGAAGAGGACATTGATGTAAGTCAATATACGGTGAAAATAATGTCACTATGAGCTAAGTGCTAACAGCTAAGAGAAAATATTCTTTTTAGAAATGTCTGTATGAGAAATAAGGAAGTGCAGTGTCTGCCGTCAGCCAGGAGTAAGCAGGTTTGTGTGAAGGAATGCTGGGTGGAGGGTGAGGATAGTTGGACCTGATGAGGATGAAACAGGGAGGAGTAGATGGGCATCTTGGTGGGAAGAAGGCTGGTTGCAATGCCTCACGTCTTCCATGCCTGCAACTATTTCATTTGTGCTTCTACATATTTCTCTCATACTATTGAATAGCAAGAAAGAAGTGATAAAGTGAACTGTATGGAAGACCAGTTTGCCTGCTCTACAGAAAATAAACAAATAAATAAATAAATAAAAATAAAAACTTAAGAATATTCAAACTGAGACTGCGGAGTATTTCCTTACCAGATGGACTTTCTGACAAACTTGATTGCAGCCATGCATGAGAGGCGGCTTGAGAGCATCACACGAAACTCTCAGAAAGTCTGCATTAAGTCAGTGGACACTAATTTATATAGAAATATAGTATATGATTGTATTAGAAAGGTTGAACAGTGTTGAGTACAATTAGAACAGGAGCTGATCTCTAAAGTTTTGAGACTTCCTTTTGATATCAAACATGGCAATCTAGTTAAAGCAACATGTTCACAGAGGAAAAGAGAACATTTGGTATTTTTGTCAGCTTGAAACAGTCTCTGAGAATGTAATACTTTATTGTATGTTTTCTAAACAAAACCTTATCTTTTCTGGTTCAAAATTAATTTTCATTTTGGTATTTTAACAAAATGCAATAGATATTTCTGAAAATAATAAATGATAAGTATCTAATTGATTTTTTTGAAGTGATATGTGAAACTCTTGACCTGAAATTTTGTTTCAATTATTATTGCTGCTACTGCTGTTGCTGCTGTTATTCCTGGTACTATTGTAATTCATAGAAGAAAATACAATTTAAATAAATATGCCTGTTGAATGCAGCCTGCCACAGATGCTTCAACTTCCACCACACAGTTGTGCAGCATTTCCCTTATCCACCACACAATCAAATCAGAGGTGTACACACACACACACCCTAAAAATAATATATTATAAGGTAATTGTGGCTGTCTCATAAATGTTAAAGCCATTAAGCTGATCATAAGGAAGTTTCTGCAGAGAATTTTAACAATTTATTACACTTTATTTCACTAAAAATATGGCTACACTTCTATTTCTGAGTTCAAAAGCTCTCTCAGCTTTCATTTAACAAAGAATATAATGACTAAATCTGTATTTGCAGCCCCTAAAAAAAAAAATAATAAAAAAAAAAGTTTCATATCTGTCTTCAGCAGCCCTTTCAGCCACAGGAAAACCACAGGCTTCTTGGAAGGAAGGTCATTCTAATATGAGGCTCTAAGGGAAATAAACCTTTGAAGTTCCTTGCTTGTGGAGTCATTTCTGGATTTCACTTTTTAAAGTTGTCTTTTGAATGTTTAAAAGCCTTATTTTTGCTTTTAAACATGGAAACTATATTAAAATGAAGAAATTATGAGAAATACTTGTTTTTAGTGTAACAGTTTTAAAAAAACTGTTTTTTCAAAAGGATCAGCATACTTGGAAAATCCTTTTATCTGGAACGTGCTTTTGGATCTTGGGTAAGAGGAAATAAATGTTATCTGAACATTTCTATTGTTATTACAAGAATCTGATTACTGTTGCAACTTTTATTATTTGGCAGTTATAGTTCCAATTTCTTACCTTTAGTATGATCTTAGTATACTTTTTGGTAATTGCTATAGGAGCTCAGATTTTATGATGTCACATATAACGTGACAGACAACTTGCTGATAGATTATCAGTCAGAAATGAAAGGTAAATTAGAGACAAGATTTGTGGAGTCCCTATGGAAAATATTTTATGATTGTGTGAAAATTTGGTGATGTTCATCTACCCAGGCAATTACCAACATGGAGACAGAATTGTTTTGGAGATGATTGAACACACACGATATACATACTTATACACATGTACATAAGTCCACAGGTATCTGCTCCAAGCTTCCAGGCAACGTTTAATGAAGATGTGCACCTAACCCTGCCTTTCTATAGCTTCGTAGTTTCATGCTTTTAAATTTGGAAACACTGTTATCAAAATGCAACATAAAAGTTACTTACGGCACTAATTCTTACATATGAAGCATGTTCAAGGGTGTAGAAGCTGCTTAATCAAGCAAACTCTGTATTTTAGATGTATTCTGTGTGATAAAGAGCTTCTAAGTAGTATCTCCTATGATAATTTCAGAGACATGTATCAGAACATTGCAAGAGCTAAAGAATGTTCAGTATCTGTTTTTTAGATGGCATTTCTGGAGAAAGTAGCTGATGTGGAAGCAGTACCTTCTTCAGAAATAAAGCTCAGAATATAAGTATTTATATCCTTTCATACACATTACACAGGTGTCAGAAATGATGCATTAAAATACAGCATTTTGAGCTACTACTCTCTCATTTTATTTGGCTATTTGTGTATTTGTTTTCTTCTTTAGAACATGGAGGCCAGCTTTTCAGAAATGAAAAAAGAGCTGCAGTCACGTGATGCTCTCTGGAGAAGGATACATCTGGAATGCCAACAATTGCATACAGAATTATTGAAAATCAGAGAAATGCAGGAAATTCAAATAAAGTATGTGTGTTAAAGATAATGTTTAAAATAACAAATACTACTAAGCTAATCATTTTTTTTCTTACTTCTGATTTACATCAAGTCTGTTGAAAAAGATAGTTAGGATTCAAGTGTCAGACTTTTAAACAACTTTTGAATGAACATTTTCATACATGACAAGATTAAAGGCAGTAGGTTCACCCTCTGATAAAAGGCCTTTATGTTGCATAGATCTTTGCAAGTCAATGTATTTAACCTATTTTATTTATATGCTTTAAGTGCCTTTCTATTTCTTGACATTAAAACACTTTGGAAATAGAGCAATTATGATTCTCCCTAACCTTCTATGAGTAAAATGTTCATCTTGTTATGGTTTATCTAATCTACCATAACTGTCAAAGAACACATAAAATACTAATCAAGAAGAGATTTCAGGATTCTTTCTGCACATACTTCCCTTTTCTTAATCTCTAGAAATCTCCCAAGATCCAACCTTTTTTAGGCCAAATCTCGTGGTGTTTTTTGTTTTGGTTTGTGTTTTTTTGGTTTTTTTTTTCATCCCCAAACAAGTTCCCAGTTTTACCCTGGGAAGAAGATTTTTAAGTGAAAGATTATTGCACATTCTGCTTATTTCATATTTTTTGTTTTGTTTTGTTTTTTTTTCATTTCTAATTTAAAGACATCAGTCATCTTCTGTACAACTTACTGAGCAACCAGAAAATAAAAATTCAGACTTATTACTACTGGCACAAAGTCAAGAAAGCCAACAAGAAGTGCTAAGCAAGGTACGTCACACTGTTAAGTATTTCCAGGTCTCACACTGCAGTCTAGGATTTAAAAAAAATAAAAAAATAAAAAAAGAGAGAGAGAAGAAAAAAAAAAAGAGAGAGATCAAAGTAGTGAGCTTGGACATGTGCAAAAGAGAGCAGAAGGATAAACTGAGGGTTTAGGAGAGTATGGAGTTTTCATATATGGTTGCATTCCTGGAGGTAATTGTATAGCTGTGCAAATGGTATTCTGACTCTGCACACTAACAACTGAGGTTGCTACTTCATGAAAGTAATGGAAAAGCCCAAGCCTAAATATTACTGTGATTAGGTAATACCTTACAAGTAATAAGTCCTCCAAGGCTATGGGTAGTTAATAGGTTGTAGGAGGTAAGTAGCAGTTTGTAGGTGGTCTCAGACATGCGAATAACAGATCAACCAGTAAAATCACTATGGCTGGTACCCACACAAAGCTACTTTATCAGTCATCTGCTGCACAATCCAGGGCAGTGCTTCTTTGTTTGAGTTTTGCATCGTATTGCATTGCACGTTTCAGAACTGCTGTGTGCAAGCAGTTGTGGCATGGCATTGTGGAATAACACATGGTTTGGCAGGTTAACACTTTGAGGAAGAAGGTGCCTGGAACTCCCCTTACAGACACGCTGTGTTTTTTGCTGAGTAGCAATGTAAGCATGAATATCTGGAATTGGATGCAGCTGACTTGGATGCTGCAGCAATTTTGGCATGATAATCATGCTCTAGCTGTCAGATTTTTTGCATCTATATCTATTTGTTTACAATTCTAGTATTTCTGTGCAGTTTGCATAAATAAATATGAAATGCCATCTGTTACTGATTGTATACAGTACTGTGAAGAATTATTAAAATGCATTAAAAGGTATTTTTGCTGTTTTTAATAGTAATGTTTCTTACATATTACGAAAATCTATCAGTACTACAGTTTTGGTTATTAGTTGAAAGATTAGGAAAACAATCTTTGTGTTGATTCTTTGGAGAACCCTTTACATGGGAGATAATGGAGAAAGCTTGACCTTACATTTTATATATAATGGCAGAAAAATTCTCATAAAGTGGTTTACCATATATATTCTTCTATTTCTATCACAGTTTCTCATAAAGAGGTCTCTAGATTTATTTATTTATATTGCTCTGTAGTTAATTTCAGTTTAAGACATGTTTAATGCAGCCTAAAATAACTTTGGAGCATTATAAATAAATCATACTTAGGTTTATTGAAAAGATATTTCCTTGCATTTTCTTTGTCATAATTTCCAATTCTTGAAATTAGCATTATTATTATTGCATTCCTTTAAAATTTTAATACAAATATTTTATATTTTGTTCATTTCTAATACTAAATTAGCAAATGAGAAGGGTTAAAAAAACGTAAAAATAAATAAGACTGTGCATTGCCTCATGAAGACATTTTATTATAAAATCTCAAAAATGTCTGACTTGGTTAGAAGAGTTGGTGTCTTGGAAGCAGACCGTAAAAAAGTTAGTAGTATGTGGTTAGTGATTCAGTCATATTTACTGCACAACATTTTTTCTTATTGAAACGTATTTGCTACAGATAAGAAACCATCTTTATCGAGAGGAGCAGTCCCATTGCTCTGAGCAGGAAAGAACAAGGACAGAAATCTCTGACCTGACAGAAGAGCTTCATCAGAAGGAGATCACTATAGCAACTATCATGGAGAAAGCTAGTCTTCTGGAAAGACAGTTAAAAATGGAGTTACAGATAAAAGACAAATTGTTAGCAAAACAACAGGTATGCAAGCAGGCAAAACCAGCCTAGGCCATTTTACTCCACACTATTGATGATGACATACATTATCTGGTAAAAAAGACATTACTTTTATTTCTGTAGTTTTCATCTCCATCAGCAGTGATGTAGTAGTATTTATTAAATAGTACGGCCAAATATTATAGCAGTCAATTTGATACTGGAACAATAAAGCACCACTAAGTGTCAACTGTACATCTAAATTGCAGATCACCCTGACCATCAATTGTAGTCACCATTTTAATATGCAAAAGATCTCAAAAAATTTTTTGTTGTTATTGTATGTGCTTTATCATTGGAATCATTTATTAGATTATCTAGAACATTTCCTAATTTTTAAGCCTTTTTTTTAAAAAAAAAAAAAAAGCTTTGTAAAGAATGTTTCAAGTATGCTTCGAAAAGCATAAAAGCATGGCAATTTGAAAGCTGAAAACTGTAAAATACTGATGTTTTTAAATGGTAGTAGTAGACTCAGTAGACTGAGTCTATCAGTAGACTGTCATAATACTTTACTTTTGACAATAGGAAAGTTAGTGTTTGGGGAAATGTGACACTGCTGCTGTGTGGCACTATTTACTGGGCCATATGTTAGATGGTATCATTAAGAGTGAATGTGGTTCCTAGGCTTCATGACTAAGGTTTCAAGCAGTTTCAGTGGTCTGCAAGGTCTGTCCTTGGTATTTTGTAACTGTATGTCTACTCCCTTGTTTGTATAACTGATTACTTCTTTCAAAAAAGGTAAATAAAACTGGTAGCAGATCATTTGTATGTCTTTCATAGATAGTTGAATATTTCTTTCTGGTTTAGTACTGATGGTTTTTTTTTAAAAAAAAACTGTTTCTAATAGATAGGTTCATAATTACTCATGTATACTTTGCAAAATTTAACTTATCATACATATAGTCAATATTTTTTCAAGTTAACAGTAATATTCATATGTCTAAGAACTTATCTTTTCCTAGGTGTTGGATTTCAACTACAAAGTTGTCAAATCTGAAAACACGCATCTAAAAGAGCTGATAGAAAATCAGGAGTGCAAAAGTTGCATGGTAATTCTTGCTTTTTTAATTTAAGCAATATGAAGAGCAATTACTTATACTTACTGTAAATGGAGATTGAGATCGTGGCAAATTTAGAAATCTCTGGCTTGTGTAAAATAAATAAAAATAAACTGTGTGACATAATCAAAGACAGGTGGTATTCATGCAGAGCCTGAAGATGGATATAGCTAGGAATAATTTTAACCTTAATTGTAGTAAGCTAGAAGCAAACAAGACTTTTCAGTTATTTTGTCTAGATACTAAATTCTTGGAGCCAATTTTTTGTAACTGACCACTTATTACAGCTGTTTTTAAACAGTTGTAATTTTCACAGATACAAAAATATGTCCGTTTTTACTATTTTCCCCTTTTGTTGATCTGGCATTTAAATAATGGTGTAAAAAACCTGACACAACACTTTCCCCCACTCAGCTTATTTTCAGAGTTTAGTAATTATTTCTCTTCAAATAAGGAATATTTAAAGTTTAATTCATAAAAATGTGACAATGTAATGTGGAATTACAGTTTATACAGATGTAATAAACATTTCATACACTGTGTTCCACAAAGAGCTTTAAAACCTTCCCTCCTTACAGAATATCTGCAGTTATTGTGTGTGTCACTAGAAAAACACCAAAATGCAGTTTGTAAATACTGCTGTAAATACGTCTTTGGGGGATTCATAGCCTGGTAATTGTCTGACTGTAAACTGGCGAATGTCACCTTTTCCATACCCTTAAAATGGCATATCAGGACATATTATTTATACATCCATATATAATGTTACAGGTATGTGTGTGTATATATAGCTGTGTCAGCTCAGTTGTGGGCTTCATGCCATTATAACTGCAATAGAGCTGGTTCTAGAGCTATCGGTTTTAGGGTGACTTAGCAGCCACCTTTGTCTCTTCTGCCTCACCTCTCCAGATGTGAGACATAGCTGAGCCCCTGCCTCCATCCTTGGACAAAATGTCATTTTTTTAAATGACTTTCTGGCACTTCTGTGACAGCTTGGCTCATAATTTTGCCATAAAACTAGCCGAGCAAGGCAAGATTTATAGGAAGAGATAACATTAGACCAATTAATCCAAAAAATAGGCAAGCTTTCAGGTGCGGGAACCCTAGCTGTGCTATCAACATGCTAAAACCAAATCTTTAATGCTCATGGATTACTGGCTTCCAAAAGAATAAAGTAAACTGGAAATACATGAAAGCACTTCATAATAAAGTGTATGGGATTTTAGCCTTTTGTGTATGATCTGAGAAGTCTTTTGAGATAATTTTCTGTTGGTGACAGCTTGCTGCTATTGCTAGTCAACCATCAGAGCTAATCTTTATCTTCCACTCTTGGCATCCTAGTGGATGGGCCTCTTCAGCCCCTGCTTGCAGTGCACACTTTGTTTGCACTTCCATTATTTTGACTTGTGTACTCCGTGGGTTTACCCAACTAAGAAGCAGGATTTAGTAACACAGGTGGAGACCGCTGTGATAACGTGACTGTACTGCTTCTGAAGCTGAAGGTGACTGTCTATCAACACAGATATTAAATCGTGCCTGTAGATATACACTGGATCTAGTATAGTAATGAACTTACATAATTTGTCTTGTTATTTTTGGTGCAGTCATTACTGGAGGGAGCAATGCAGTCTATAGCTATAGTTGTTATGGTTGCTTTTATGTCATAAGTTTTACAATGCTAGTGATGATGAATTTACAACAATAACATTTTGAATGCACTGTTCGTTGAGAAATTTTAATTTGTTTTATTGTGTTATAGAGGCTGTTATCCTTTCTTTCCCATTTATCTACAGTGTTGTTTTTTTCTGGAGGCAATTCTCTTGGTTTGCTATAAGTGCTGCATGATTATATGTGGTAGCTAGGTCTTTCTTTAGCATAGAACATTGTTTTGTGTTTGCTTGTTGAAAATACTAACACCCATTTATTGTGGAAAATATGCCTATTTAGTGATGGCTTTATCTCCTTTCACAGAGTATAGATTTATCTAACAAAGAACATGGAAATTTCACAGCTTCCATTCACAAACTGGAACATGAGAATGTAAGATTACAGAATAGTCTTGTTAAACTACAAAATGACACAGAAACATCAATACTGGGTGGCATGGATATATATGGAGAAACAGAGCACAGTTACCAAGCCAGTTCAAAGATGCAGGAAAAGGAAGAGAGGTAATATTTAGATTGTACTTATATATGAAACTTTCTATTAACTTCCTGGAAGTATGTAATTGGACCGAACTTGTAAGGATTTTTTTTTTTTCATTCAGAACTCCCACCAACCTAAATATCAGACTCAGTATATTTGCAAGGTTTTCATACATTTTTATGGCTAACTGAATTTGGCAATAAATGAAGTCTCAGAAATGTTTGCCTATTTTAATATTTTTCATGTGAAATAGTTTTAAAACCTTTTTTACGCTGCTTAAGTTATTCTTAGCTCCAGGTTTTGCAAAACAGGACAGAATGAATATTTACTGCCAAATAAAAACAAGACAAGGAAAGGATATACAAACCAACATGAGAGGTAAACTGCTCCACAGGAGGTTATCTTAATAAGCAGTTTGAACTACAGCTCCTGCTGAAAAGCTTTGTGTCCTACCAGGTCCGTTTGTTGGAAGCTTCATTAAATGTATTTTAATGCCTTGTAAAGTTTTGGTGTTCTTGGGTGATCTGTTTTGTGTTTTGTTTTTGTGGTTTTTTTTAAAGAAACATAAATTCAGATGCCCTGAATAAATTGTTATCACAGTAAACTTGTTAGGGAAAAGTAATGTGACTTAAGAACACGTAGTCTCATAGAAAACGTATGGTAGTGATGTCTTTACTTCTTAATTCCTTGTATTCAGTGAAGCACTGAAGGACCTTCAAATGTGTTATCATCATGGCACTGCAGTAATAAAAAGAAAATTAAACTCTCTGCTAAACAATATTTCACACTACAGGAGATTAAAAATTAATAGAAATCTAAATATTTTGATCATTTATAACAAAGAATTTATGCAATAGCACTAATGTAAAACAGTTCTGTGAAACAAAAGTTTAAATAAAGTGGAGCCAAAATTGTACAGGATAAGATTTCAGAATCATACATTCAAGTTTATGGCAAACCATAAAGTGATTTTCTTCTGTATAGTAGAAAGGCATTGTATTATCTGTTGATACAGTCTTGCCTAAACTTTCCTTTTAAATATGATGTTTAGTGATGGAGGTAGTATTCACATGGAAATATATGTATATATGAATATCTGTGTGCATATACAGGCATATATGGAAGCAGCAGCTATGTCTGTTTTGCTACTAAACTTCAAATGATGTTGAAGGCTTTGCTGAATCAATGATTGACAAATTAAGGTACAGGCTGTTGTGCACCTGTAGATCTCATAATTCCACTAAAGATGGGTTGGTGCAATTTTTGCTCATGCTTCCACTCTTCTTAAGTGAGCAAAAATAAGATTTTTCCAATTGTATCAGTAATTACATTTACTGTACATGAGGAACTGTGAAACTTCATACGTGTGAATTCAGTGTAAAGAGTTATGCAGGTGTTTTGCAGGATGTTGATTTCATAACCATTAAAACCCAACGTTAAACCAAAACAGGGAGAGAGAGACCTTCCTCACAACAGAAATCCCAGTCACCCCTACTGAACACAAGTTAAATTACAATTCTAATTAATCTGATGAAAAAGGTGTATTGGGCCTGTTTTTCAGGTTCTAAAACATGTATTTATGTTCCTAAGTTAAAGGCTATTTATTTATTTTTTTAATGCATATAGAGATTACAAGACAGGGCAAATTCCATGTGCAGTGTATGTATACCTCAGCCAGCAGTCTTTGTAAGATTGAGCCCTATGTATACTGTTGGTTCTCTGTTCCCCAGATGGGGAACTACCCCAAGATTTTCTCAGAAAAAGAAAATTGAATTTTCAACCATCAAATGTAAGCACATAAGCCAGGCAATTGATGTTGGTTTGGTTTAACTCTGGGGTATGTTTTATTTTATTGTGAGCATAAACCATGTTATTTCTGTTTTAATTTGCAGTTCTGTTTCCATGGTAATTATGGTACTGGAGAAAGGGCAAAAAGACTTTTTTTACACAGGAAAAAAAAAAAAAAGGAAACACAATGTTTGTGCAAGGTGGGGAGGTTGTGTTTTAAACGGTAATTTTCAGAAGCTGTACTTTTTGTTTGTGCATTCAGAAACCTAGAAATATTTGCACAACGGACAAAAATGTCTTTGAGTGTACCCTGTAATATTTTTCTCTCATGATCACTACTAGAATCCTAGGCATGGGCACAGACAGGAGACCTCTAGAGAAAATACAGGTAATTGCAGGAAGTTAGGCTGATGATTTAGGAAGAGGCATTTTCTTCTTTCTTTAGGTGTTCAGTGACATTCTAAGTATCACAAAGCAGCACATGGAGAAGTAGCATCTTTGTGCTAAAGAAGACTGAGGCCACATCCTACCTATAACTGCTTCTAATTAATTACTGTTCTCATATATGATAATTGATTTTATTAATATTAAAGTAAGCATTCTCTATCCCCAGAGTTTTAATCCCTTGTTCATACTTTGTACATGTACAGTTGGTTTGAATTTTGGCCTGACTGAAGAGGATTTTCTTTGATATTTCTTCAGAAATTAAAACATGCACATGAGTTCCCATGCAAAGTTACCATAAATGGATACACAAATTAGATAACTGGCCAAGCCAAAGTGCTCTTTTGCACTTTGTGTGGAAAAAGTGAGAGGTAAAGGCTAGGACTGAATGCCTGCTGAGGTAGCTAGAGGTCTCTTAAAGGATGTGTGGACAGTGTCATGTCTGTCATAAAGAAGTCTTCACCACCCTTTGGAGGTCCTACATTCTTAGTCATGCTCACCGCCCTATCAGTTATTGCAGCAGATAAACTGGAAGCAGCAAAAACAGTCTCTTCAGGAAAATACTTAGCAGCAGTTTTTTAAAATCAAGTTACTGGTTACACTTGCAAGGTAAAAGCAACAATAATCCCGCAGGCATCCTGGTCTTTAAAGATCTGTTGTTCTCTTTCTCAAGAATAGGTATGTCAAGCAGCACGAGCTGCATGAGGAGTTTGTTTTGCACCACTGGAAGTCGCTGATCTCATGGGGACCTAGCTGATTTTGTATATACCTGAGTATGGAAAAATCTATTCTCTCTCAAATTCCCTTTGTGAGGACATTGTTCTTTCATTTCGTGTCCCATATGTCTCCATGCCAACAGTGACATTATTTTTGTGAAGTATGTGTGTATGTTAAATGCTCTATAACCCCACTAAAAGCGTAAGTTATTCAACTGCAGTTACAGTGAATTTGCATCGCCAGTATTAACAAATGATCTTTTTTTTTTACGAATTTGCAGATATTTGCCTACCTTTATATTTGTACTCAACCTAGAACTCTGTTTGTAGATTTTATTTTGGACTGAACTAGCAGAAATTTAAGCCCCAGCTGTGAAATTTGTCTTGAGTGAAGGCATAGCATCTATATCAAAACACCTAAACGTAGGTGGCGTGTTTTTCCAAGACAGCAAACAGCCCCAGCAATTTATTGAATACAGTAGGAAGTAGAGCCTTTAAAAAATCAGGTCTTGGTGGTGTTCTTTTCTGGGGCGTGGGGTATGTCTTTTTACTATGTGAAAGCGACCATAAATGTAGGCACCCAAGTCTGAAAATTCTGGTCTTACTGAGGTAAGCTATAAAATAACAGTAATAACTGTTATTAAATACATATAGAACCAGTTCTGGGGAAAAAATGAACACAGATCACATGGAGTTTACTAGGGGTTTTCAGAGGAAATTACTTCCAAAAAGGTCAGAACACAAAATGAAAAAAAAAAAAAGTCTGTGATTTTGTCATTCGTTGCCATCTATCTTCAAAGGTGTCAGTTTTTTCACTGTGGCCTTCATACAAACAATAGGCAGAATAGATTTAAAATAGGAGAAAAAAAAATAAAATGCATTCTCCTATGCCCAGAAAGGCAGAGTGTGTTTATTTTAATGAAAAGCATGGAAGAAAGAAGAAATTTCTGCCCCCAAAATGATAAACAGTTTAGGTCATTTAGAGAACTGGAAGGTTTGATACATATTTTCAGAGAGTTTTGTCTCTGAATGCATAATAACAATATCATAGTAATAATAATATTATAGTATCATGCTTATAATTTGCTTTCTTGTAGCATTCGGAGTAACTTATTCGCTACTACTTTATAATCCGAGAAAATATGTTCTTCATCAGGTTTCTGGGTTATCCTGCACAGCCCATTTAGAGAGGACTCAGTCTCACGTTTCAGTCCCAACATGCCTATGTACAGGCAGGAGCCATTAGGGCTGCACATACTTAGTGCTTCTCCCAGCACTAAATATTTAAACCGACATGAGAAAATGATGGTGTGATCTTTCTGCAGACAGCACTGCCCTTTCCCTGTGCTTGGCATATTCTTCCTTTTTTATTAAAAATAAAATCTGTTTTCCTTGGATCTGAGTAGCACTGCATATTCTTAGATATAACAGTAATCACGTTTTAGTGGCAGAGAACTTGATCTTTAAAAGCTTTTATAGCTGCATTTCAAATTAGTAAAGCGTTTTAGGATCTTTTAAATGATAACATCTTTCCAGACATCTATCATGTTTAAGTACAGTAGTTACCTCCCAAGAGTGAAGTTTTTTTTCATCATAAGCACAGGCCTCCCTACAGTGGCAATTTCTACTATAGCCAGAAATGTTGTCACAGAAATGTAATAAAATCTGAAATAATTGAATTGTCTTTTTTGTTTGTTTGTTTGTTTCACGTTTTGGTATATAAAGCAAGTAAAGATCCATTTGAAAATTAGACATCTGGGCAAACAAGTCTCAAAATTTTCTGCTCTTTAATCTATGTGATTTCAGAGTTATTCGGTTAACTGTCAGAAGAAGAAATTTCAAATGGGAAGCAAGATTTTGTTGTTGTTGTAGTTAACCATAAAAATTGTTTGCTTCACAGAGCTTCAAATGAATGCAAATATATGCTCATACATCCATTCTGATCACTATAAGCAGGATACAAGAGTTATGGAACATCATAATAAAATACTTGAAAATTCAATAAGCTTGAAGATTTCCCTTATTGTTACAAAAGCATGTTTGTGTGTAATTTAAAAAAAATTACTTTAAAGATTTCATCATTTCCTTTATTAATTTCCAGTGCATTTTCTCTTATTAATTTCCAGTGGGTTATCATTAAATCAGTAGCAAAATTAGTGTTACAGTAAAGATTTAGGATCAAAGTTTCCTGTACTATCCTTTTTATTTAACTGATTTAAGCATTTATTCTAAATTCTAGCTATTCGAATATAGTTCTTTAAAGTTATATTAGATCAAAACTGACTAATTATCCAGACCACAAATAATCTCATCTCTCTTATAATTTGATATTTTGTTTCTAGTATTTGTGTGGCTAAGTTCTATATATTTCTCATCATACTGAGGCCAGTTTGTGGTTTAGATCATATCCTGCAAAATTATATGGCAAGGTTACTCAACTGAAATTCCGATGGGAGAGTTTAAATCAGTGTGATTTAAGTTACAGCTGAAGCAGACAAAGAATGCACACTCAGACAATCACAGTAACTTAGGTGGAAAGTTGCTAAATTGCTGCAGCTTGGTAATGCGTAATCTTATGTCCATAACTGGGTGCAGGAAGCAGTTTGAACAGTTGAGTAATCAAAGTCAAACAAATGAACAAAAAGCATGGCTTTGCTCTGATAGCTCGGAGTTTCAACTGGTTTTCATATTTTGATTTTATATTTTTATTGCTATTTTAGAACTTCCCAAAATGAAGATGGATGGCACATGAAAGCTCAACAGACTGCTCTGCTCACAGCCAGTGGATGCCACAGAAACCGTAGCCCAACTTCATATGGCCAAGGCAATATCACTGGCTCAAAAAGTGATATCACTTTATCTTATAAACTTGACAGAGGTCATGAAAAGGAACTGGATGATAAATCTCCATCATCACCAGTGGGGTATCCTTTGTGCTTTGGCGGGCTGTTTTCTGAAAAAGGCACAACAGGCGGTTTACTAAGCCATGCTTACGATGCAGAAGAAATCAAATTATCAGTAAGTAACTGTTTTTCTACAACATAGATATTTTCAGAGCTTCTTTTAATGGTCCACATCCATCTGTGGACCAAATGCAATCCTGAAGGAACCAAAAATTAGATTATTCCTGTTGTCACTGTTATTTATTCAGTGCTAGCCCAGCAAAACTGTAAATACCTTATCCTAACATAACCACAGTTTTTTTCTGAAGATTAAACATCCCCTACTGGGCCATATCTCTGTACTAGTAACGATGGTGATAATTACCTGCCATTATGTGACTGCGGGAGAGACTTCTACATTTTAGCTCATTGCCTTCTATATTGGGGCACTCTGCTTCATATTGCCTTCTGTAGGGGCACTGCTTTAAATGTCTTTCCATAATACCTGCAAACTTCTGCCTTAAGTGCTGTTAGACAAATCCGGTTTCCACAGCATTTGATTGATGGATGAAATTAGAGGAATTGCAGCAACTATTTTCTGTGTGTTAGCTATTGTATTTGAAAAGGAACAGAAATGATAACTGCTGTAATCCTTATTTTTCTTGAAATGAAAGAGTAATAGAGCAGCATTCTTTCTTTCAGTCTTCATAGGGTGCAGATTACCAACCTCCATTGACAAGTGGAATAAATCCCACTTTGGCTATGGCAGCTTCTAAGGAAAAACTTTCCAGAATTCTTCGACTTCAGCTCTCTCTTTAAATTTGAGCTTTATATTCTTCCTTAGTATCTTTTTTCCATCCTTAGGCATCCACTACAGGCCCCTATTTTGTTTTTTTCCACTAGAAGATTTAGCACTCGTTTTCCAGACCTCAAACCACACAACCACACCAACTTTTAATAGAATTTACAGATTATTGAGGAATGGACTGTGGCCATCTCTCTGTCCAACAGTGATGTATGCGTCTTTGTACCCAGGAGATCCTGAACTGTTTGTGTCTTGAGTCCTATTAAGAGAAAAAATGGAAGACTAGGTCAGCTTTTAATGGGGAGGACCAGTAGGCAATGTTCTTGCCACATGGCACGTTAATTAGGACAGAAGAGCATCGTGACACCAACAGCCATCTTCAGGCAGGTTGCACTGGTCGTGCCCCAGTTCTGCCGTTCACTTCATAAATGTGCACACATCCTTTCTTAGCAGAGATGTGGCTGCTGGAAGATGCTCCAGAAGCTCCCAGTAGACAACAGCACCACATTATTCACAGATTACCTGCCTGGGAAGCAGGGATTGCAGTGCAGCCTGTGCTCCCAGCAGCTGTGTCCCAGCAGTCAGAGTGAACCAGCTAGCCCTCATTTATATGACCTCATTTCCATGTTTCCATCTCATAGGAATTTTAAGTGAATGGCTTTTGGTTTCTCATTGGCTTGGAAGTTTTCCTCTTTGAACTGCTAGCAGCAAAAAGAATTGTTTGGACTTTTTCAGGAAAAGTCTGGTAAACACCAGTTCTCATCCTCTCTTCTGTCAGAAGTGTCAGACAGAGATAGCAGGGCACAAAGCTTCTATTTCCAGCCAGCCCAGGGAAAATGCCCGTTCTGAGACAGTTTTGCGAGCTGCAGGGAAACTATTTCCCAGCTGGCACTCAGGACAGGGTTGGTGCCAAGACAGTTGACTAGATTGTAAGGAAAACATTGCCAGCTGGTGTGTGGGCAAAGTACAGAATGAAACTATTAAGCAAGGGATGTTTCTCAAGCAGAGTCTAAGCCCAAATGAGAGGGATCAAAGCAGGTAGGAGTTCAGAAGATCAATAATATCAAATCATCATTTATATACATATATATTTATTCAAGAAGATTATTGGCAGGTTCAGAATTGTCTATTTCTATATAATTTCTCTATATTAGCTGGAGCAAGCAGGTATGTACATTGTGCTTCCCAACCTGGATCTTTATTTGTGACTTTTAGTCACAAATACTTTGTCATGTTCCCTTCAGGTGATGGACACACATCACGTGCTCTTGCTTTCAAGACTTAGTAGAACAATAAAGACTTAGGTTGTAGCAAAGAAAATTTAAATCAGACATTAGGAAACTTTCTAACTTTAAGGATGGGAAATGACTTAATAAATAAATTACAAGTGGATAGTTGTGGAAATTCTAGCACTGGACATTATTAGGAATGATTTTGACAGTCTTGATCCTACCCAGAGGCACACAGTGGTCCATGCCTTTTCTGTAATACTGTTACCTACTTGCTAAGGTATTTAGGTCTTCCAAATGTGGCTTGAAGTTATCCCAGGAATCTCAATTTTCATATACAAGCAGAAGCACATTCTTCTGAGAAAGTCATCTGTATCTTCTGCCTAAAGTGTACTGCAGTGCAGGGTTAGAGGAAACTGCACCCTGAAAATTAAAATTAGGCAGACCAATTCGTAGTCTTGGTGTGACAACTTTCCAGAGTAGTAGAAGGGCTAAACATGAGAAGACTTTAATGCTCCGTGAGCATGATTTGACCACTAAACATTAGACTATCCTGAATGTTAATGTTTTCTTGCTGCACTGCTAAATGTGCATCCAGGAGTGTTGGACAGTTCATGGGGCAAGAAACAGATTAGCACTAGTAAAGTTAATCAGGCACTCTGCGAGAGAATAGACCTGGCTTCCCGGAGCACTTCTGCCCAGCAACCCAGTTTCATAACTCATAAGCATTTTGAGTAGTTTCTGTTTAAGGAAAAGACATATTTAACATGTATCACATATGGAGATATGCGTCTATATATCAGGTGCCCTCCTTCATTTCCAGCAAATGTTGAGGCAAAGGGGTGGCTCCTGTTACTGGTCTACACCAAGGAAGCACGGGGGGAGCTGACACTGTAGTAATGAAATAGCGGAGTCCTTGTTGCCTAACTACCCAGCCAGTTAGGCTGAAATCTTACCAATGAACCCATTTCTGCACAGCTCCAGTTAGAAAACTGAAAGATATAAAGGAAGCGTTATCTGAAGAAAACAAATTCAAAACTAGGGACCGTGAGTCTCATCTGAGACAGGGATTAAAGCAGTTTCTTTATAGTTTTCCTTCCTCAGGCACAGAAAGTGAAGATAATATAGGACATATTGAAAGAACAGACCAGAGGCTGGGAAAACAAAGCTTACTTGCTAACAAGAAATTTTGCCTTTTAGACCTGTTTAGATACAACCTTCTGTCAAAGTGCATAAACACAGTGCATTAGGGACCTATCTAAAATGATAGTCAGTGATGTCTGACCCTCAGGGTAAGAAGCTGCAAGGAGCCACGATCTGCTTGTTCTGTGATAAACATTCCTCTCTCCTCTGAGGAAATTCAGAAACGTCTCATTTGGGGTTCACACTGTATTTCAAGAAAAACACATCAAAGTGAGTACCAATTGAAGCAAAGGACAGTAGCATTTTAGGAAGATAGCTTCATCGTGAGGCCAGTATGTTTCTACTGACAAGTCAGCAATTGTAAACACTGCAGTAATGAATCTCTGAGAACCTCTTGTAACTTGATGTAATATTTCTGAAGACTGGCACATCTGCCTGGTTTCCTTTGCTTCTCTCTGGAAGTGTTTTATTTGCTCAGTATTGACTCAGTGATTTTGGAGTAAGTGAAACATGGTGTTGCTTTAAATAAAGCCTCCACGTACAGTGGCTTCTTCATAATGCAAAGCTATCTTAAAACACTTCAGAGTAGTACTGCCAACTCTATCACTGAATCCAAACATCACAAGAAAATATTTATGTGACCTAGCCCGTGAGAGGGGAGGAAAAAAATTGCGTGTAGCCATAGCATTTGAAATCTCAGGAAAATCTCTTTGTGTGAAAACAATGGTGATTTGTGGGTGGGGAATCATGCACATGTTTCCAGGGAAAAACAAAAGGTGGGTGATTTCCCTCCAGAGTTTCTCTAGCACTGGAAGATCCCTGCTAGTGCAGGGAGCGATAGAAGAGTGTTGTGGGACAAGGTGAACGAATATATTTACATATTCCTACCTGGCAAATTAAGTCACTTTCTTCCCTGCCCCATTAAAACACTTACTTTTGAGGCACCAAGTAAAGGAAAATTCTGCTTTATCTGTGAATTTCACTTTAGGAACCCTGTATGTCCAGAAAGCCTGGCTCAGTCTAGAGGGTGGTAATTACATCCAGAATTTATTTCTGGCTATCAGTTTACTTGCTGTACTGTGAAAAGTAAGGGGATTTCTTATGGGAAATCCCTAAATTTCATCTCAAGGTCTGCTGCAAACCATTTGAATAGGATAGTGCTTTACAGCATTTCTATATTTTCTACTTAATATCTTCTGGCCTGAGAAGCTGTTAAGGGCAGTTTTAAACCAGGCTGAAGCAAAGACTGAATCTGCCTGTAGTTGCTGTGGAAATAGGGAATACCCCATTCCGATATAATAGATCCTAGAATAAACATTTACAGGTTTAATAGAATTGGCATTTTCCACAAAGCATTTGGATATTTAAATCATTTGAGGCCCTTCCTATTTGATGTACTGGCAGTCTCCTTTTTATATTCTAGGAAAAACAAAACTAGAGATTCAATGCTAACAATTCTAACAGTTATTAAAAAATATTTCAACACAGGGTTTAATTAAGATGATAATTTCTAATAATCTTACTCAATATGTGGTCACATAAAGACAGAAAAATATCTTTCTCTTAATATTTTACAGATCCTGTATGAAGTTTTTTCTCAGTTGACTGTTAAAAATTCATGCCATAAAATCATTTTTATCTTTACAAATAAACATTGAATATATTTAAACAAGCAAATTATCTTTAGACCAAGAAAAGGGTTTTGTTTTCTTTTTTTTTTTTGACAGACATTCCAATGAATAGATCTTAAATATTAGCAAAAGGAATTAACAAAGAATGCTGCTTACAGTTTTAGAACTCATTCCAGCAAAGATTTATTCACGTCCTTTGCTTTATACAACTCTGTGTCCCATGACAACCATTTTAAGACTGATTTTCATATGTTTTATGTCTCTGTCTACTAAATGTTCATTAAATGGAAATAAAATTTTTCAGTGAACTACTTGCAGTGAATAAAGTTTAGTACGTCCTCCGGAATATCAGGACTTGAAGTAGACAGTGCTGAAATGAGTACAGTTTTTCTTCCTTTCCTAAGAAAGCATCTTCTGAGATGGAAGAGAGGCAGAGGGAGAAAATTACAGGAGGCAATCAGCAGTACCCAACACTAGTTATCTTCTGTAGTTCCAAAGAACAGGTTATTGTCCTCTGTCCTGGTCTAAATTACACAAATGACTCACATGACCTTTAGCTGATCCAAAGATTTAAGAGGTTCTGAGGCAGCTTAATTCTGTCTAACAGGATATTTATATTTTTTAATGGCAAATCTACATCCCAATGCTCTGAATGTCAGAGGTGTTTAAACATCATGTTCACATTATGTTATTTAGCCACCAGAATGCATGTAAAAATGTATGCCTGAAGTCATATTTTCTTGGAGATGTTTAAAGCTTTAGAGGGTTATTAGCTGCTCTGCCTTAAGATGTGTTTAAGTTTAAAAACTGATTATGCAAGCACGTTGTTGAATTTTGTGTTTTTTACTATTTCTTTCTGTGCATTTCTCAGTCTTCTCCTGAGATGTCCATCCTCACAAAAACAGAAAAGTTCCTTCAAGAGGAAGAGAAACATACAAAAGAGTTTGAAGAACGTTTAAATTCACACCTTGAAGAACTGCAGAGACATTCTGAAAGCACTCTAAAGAAATATGCCATGCTACAGGAAAGCAGGCATACTTAAGCCAGGCACGCAATCAACAAAATAAAGCCACGCGTAATCACTCCAGATTTTCTTAGAACTAAAATCTGCAACTATCTTCTTAATGTCTTTAGGCACATCATGAATTGTATGTATTTTAACATGAAGGCTTCAATAAGATAATCATTATCCTGCAGATTTGGGTATATTGCAACTGGACAAACATTGTACATAACAAAACATTGTACTCTAGACATATTATGAAGTACACAGGGTAGGTTCATATAGTTAAATTGGGACCCCGTTGCAGGACTGTAAATGAAGACACTTTCAATTCTGTGATGTACAGAGGGCTAACAAGTGGAATCATTCCCTTAAAAATTGAATCAGACAAGAAAAATTCTCTAGATTGCACAGAAGAAGAATAATAGGGGCCTTTGGCCATGTCATAGCTACTGGCGTAAAGAGCTAATCTTTGCTCTGGTTATTCTTGGCTATAGAAATAGCCCTTGGGACTCCTGAAATGAGGTCTGAGCTTTTCATTTCTTATGGTGTGAGCCATGCCGTTCTGTGAGAGGAACACAAGCAGACAAAGCACAAACATACTTTGAAGCCATCCCTATTACTCCTTTTGCCAGACCCATAGACTTCACTTGGGACCGTGATCTCAGGTGCTTCCTATGCTTTATATTAATGCTTTGAATTTTTTAATCCCTTCTTCAAAAGCACCTCTTTTGATAGTGTGTTGGCACATTGTTTAACTACATTGGAATAGAGAAAAAAACTTACTTCAGAAAACTTGTGATGAGTCTTAGGAAAGGGCCTAAATTCTTTATATATTTCTGCAACATAAGGAAAAAAAACGTAAAACTGGACAGAGTTAGTTCAGCTCTATATGTTTTACTGAGAGCAGCCCTGAGGAGAAGGACCTGGGCATGTTGGTGGATGAGAAGCTCAGCATGAGCTGGCAATGTGTGCTTGTGGCCCAGAAAGCCAACCAAGTCCTGGGCTGCATCAAAAGCAACATGGCCAGCAGGGCAAGGGAGGGGATTGTCCCCTTCTGCTCTGCTCGCATGGCATTTCTGAAGAAATCCTTCACTCAGAGGCTGCCCAGAGAAGCTGTGGATGCCCCATCCCTGGAGGTGCTCAAGGCCAGGCTGGATGGGGCTTTGGGCAACCTGGGCTGGTGGGAGGTGTCCCTGCCCATGGCAGGGGGTTGGAGCTGGGTGGGCTTTAAGGTCCCTTCCAGCCCAAACCATGCTGTGGTTCTGTGATTCTTTGCTGAAAAACTGCATAATATTGAGATTCCTTTTATTTGCAATTCAAACTGGATTCTGTTGCTGTGTAAGCAAAACAAATTACAGACAGTGTTGATGAACCACCAATTTCAGTGAAAGAGATGCTGAAGTGCTGCTTTCCAGCATGAACTGTTGCCAACTTCCTGGAAAAATCTAGATGAAAATAATGCCAGACTGTCAAACAGCTCCAGTGTGTGAGTAAAAGAAGCCTCGTTAATATTCAAGACCACAGCAAAAATGTAAATTGTCTTTGGAAGTTATATTTCCATTATGACAAAATATACTACATCACACTTACACAAAATACCAAGATTTTAAATACCAGTTTGGCTCAGTTTGCAATAAAATGAGCAATGAAAATGAGGACATCAAAGATCCTTTACAGGAAAATTCAGGGAAATTGCTAGACTCAGCTGGGGGAATAAAGGCTGAATAAAAACATGATGAAAGGACATCTGAACAAACTAAATATATATGTGTCCTCAGTCTAAGGAGAGAGGCATCTGGGTGTTTTAAAAGGACTAATGAGGAAATTGAGGAACTTTTGTAAATAAAGCTTAATTTTAAGATGGGGAAGATTTGCAGAAGCAAGAAGACAGCGAAATGTTACCTTTCAGAAGGGCAGAAGAATGAAAAAAGGATATTAGCCTGTTAGCCAGATTCTTTTGCAGCTGCAAGACTTAAACAAGCAAGAAGTCAGTATGCCCCAGAGCTGCAAAGAAATGTGTCTGAGTCCTGTTAACTACCAAGGATCCCTGTCATGATGCGGGGCTGTGATTATGTAGAGCGAATGGTTGGAATTATCAAAAAGCGAATAAGATATTTTTTTTTTTCTAAAGCTTTTCAAGACCTGCCCAAGCTCCTGACTTTGGCTAATGAGATAACAGAGGCAGTTTCAGCCTGGCTTTTGTGTAACGCCATGTAATAAACTCCACGTGAAGAGCACTAAAGCTGCAAAGCACATGTGCCCAAGCAGCTGCCTTGTTTCCCAGTCCTTGCTGCACAGAGCATGTTCCACCGAAAACGTGCTGAGCCACAGAATCACAGAATTTCTAGGCTGGAAGAGACCTCAAGATCATCGAGTCCAACCTCTGACCTAACACTAACAGTCCCCACTAAACCATATCCCTAAGCTCTACATCTAAACATCTTTTGAAGACTTCCAGGGATGGTGACTCCACCACCTCCCTGGGCAGCCCGTTCCAGTGCCTAACAACCCTTTCAGTAAAGAAATTCTTCCTAACATCTAACCTAAAACTCCCCTGGTGTAACTTTAGCCCATTCCCCCTCGTCCTGTCACCAGGCACGTGGGAGAACAGGCCAACCCCCACCTCGCTACAGCCTCCTTTAAGGTACCTGTAGAGTCAGCACAGGTCACAGAGCCAGCTCGTACCTCCTGCTCGTACCACCTTCCTCTTCACCAGCCCCAACCTGCAGAAGTTGCTAAGCCAGCAGCTGCGTTTGTACAGCCTGTGTTAAAGAATATGTTAAAGAATGATGGGCAGTAGAAACAATACGCCAAGAAATGATATACCTGCAAACAGGGACTAAAGATGTAGTGTCAAAAAAAATAATCATCATACAGCTCCAAGGCTATGAAAGTCTGAAAGTACCCATAAAAATGAAAAATAAATGAATTATTAATTGTAAGTTCAGTTGACAGGACAAGGTGCAGTGTTCTGGGGCTACGGATCAGTCAAAAGATGGAGAAGGTTTCTACTTTATGAACAGCTGGCAATGGAAAATTCTTGCGAGCTGCTGGACTTCTTTTATAATTTTTCAAAGCTTCACCAAAAAGCTTTTTTTTTTTTTTTTTTTTTTTTGGCTCCCACTTGAAAGGCTTGTTTTAAATAAAGAGCACAATGGTTCAAACTGCCACCAGCCTTTTGTTGCTGAAGCAAAACCAGAGGTCACGTACACACAGTTGCCAACATGTTTTGGGAAGGTATAATTTCGGAATAGTTGGTGGGAGAGGAGCTGCCAGGCCACCGCCACCCAATTTGCTTCCCAAAACCTGTGCTGATGGGGCTGGCAGTGGACTGGCAGTGAGCAGAAACGTCTAAAAGTGACTTAGGAGAAAAGTGGTTATTTTTTAGTGCATTTTATTAGTGCATTTCCTTCCTACATCATTTTTACTCTCTGCTGTATGGGAAATTTAGGAAGGGAGGAGCAGCACGAAACCATGGGCACGCCGAGCAATAAACGAGGGGTGCAAACAGCAGTGACAAAATGCTGCCAACTCAGCACAAAAATGGGCAAACGTGAGAACTCACAGGCATGGTTTTCTTGCTTTTCCAACGTGTGGACTTAAAACAATGGCTTAAACTTCCCCAGTGAAAGGCAGATAAATTTCTGCTGTGATCAGAGACCCCACAGAAGCCTGAATCCCCTTCTTGCTGCTGCTTTAGCGGCGGTGCAGCAGGGCACAGGATCGAGCCCTCTGCCACGCGGTCATTCAGAGCCAGACCAGCGGTGGGAAGGAGGAAGAAGCCATGAGCAGAGACAGTCAAACGAGATGAGCCCCGGGGAGTTACGGCTGCGGTGTCTCATGGCAGGCACCGAAGCACGATGCCCCTAGAGCACGTGCAGGACAGCATCCAGGCGGGTTTGGGATATCTCCGCAACCTTTTTCATGTGTTTCCATGTTGGCTTTTCCTCACTCTAGGGTTCAGATCTCAGTTATTTAATCACTGGGCCTGAGGTACTGTTTGATCACGTGGGCACCCTCAAATCTAGGAATAGGCTGTAATTCGATGTACCATGCCTAAATTCCATTAGTGGGTTGAGCAACACCCCAAGACACTGACACATGATGCTCCAGACTCACTTCCCAAAGCAACAAACCCATCGGTTTGTTCCTATTATCTACTCTTAGCCACAATGCTGGGGGCCTTAAAACAGATTTATCAAAAACGTGTTTGCCCACTTACCTTATGAAAACCAGTGTCTGTGCAAAAAACAGTCCTAAACCATCCTGTCTCTGAATTTCCTGCAACAGATGTAGAATTTACTGCGTTCAGCTATAGGGACCCCAGCACAAGAAGGACATGGAAGTATTATAGTGAGTCCAGAGGAGACCACGAGGATGATCAAGGGGCTGGAGCACCTCTCCTGTGAAGACAGGCTGAGGGAGTTGGGGTTGTTCAGCCTGGAGAAGAGAAGGCCCCAGGGGGACCTTACAGCGGCCTGCCAGTGCCTAAAGGGGGCTACAGGAAAGCTGGGGAGGGACTCTGTCAGGGGGTGCAGTGACAGGACAAGGGGAGATGGCTTTAAACTAAAAGAGGGAAGATTTAGATTAGATACAAGGAGGAAATTCTTCAGTCAGAGGGTGGTGAGGCCCTGTCCCAGGCTGCCCAGAGAAGCTGTGGGTGCCCCATCCCTGGAGGTGCTCAAGGCCAGGCTGGATGGGGCTTTGGGCAAACTGGGCTGGTGGGAGGTGTCCCTGCCGCAGGCTGGAGTTGGATGGGCTTTAAGGTCCCTTCCAACCCAAACCATTCTGTGGTTCCATGAATTTACTTATGGACTTGCCATGGCTGCTTGTACAATCCCAGACAGAGCAACAAATCCTACAAAAGTCCTGGGTCCTTGGTATCCCACCTAAGTACCACAGCAAGGATTTTTTTTTTTTTACTTGAAACTTTTCCACCAGGTACAAATAAAGGTGGTTCACAGAGGACAGGATCAGCAAAAGCCTGGAGCCACAGCGACGATGCAGACACGCAACTGGGCAGTGGATGGCCAGACCCAGGGTGGTTTGGTGCCGCCGTGTGAGCTGGGACCGCACATCCAAACCTCTGCTGGTAAGGAACTTCTCCACAATGCTTCTCCAAAACTCAGAATGGCAGCGCAGGCTCTGCTTCACCCCTGCCAGCACCCAGGGGGCATTCGAGTCTGTACCCGTACCAGCTGGGCACGCAGCGAACGTGTTGTGGAAGGACAGCGCGCCCTATTTCCCTGCTGCATTGAAGAGTGCTGGTTTCTGACCACAGGCATTTCGAATAAGCAAATATTTTCTTGACATTTGATAGAAACAGAAGACGGATCATCAATTTCTCTACGTTCTGAAAACAGGTGTAGTTCTTCCTTCAGAGCACGGGCAGTGCCACTGGCTTCTCTCACTCAGTTTTGGGGACTTGGGCCCATTTCTACCACAGCCGGCCGCTCACCCGTTGTGGGAACACTTGACACAGTTCCTTTATTTTCCCAGCACTTTGCAGACACGCATAAATCTCCATTCAAACCTTGATCTCTCTTTGACTCAGACGATTTATGCTTTGAAAAACTGGTCTTAATAAATTGCTTCCATAACTTGATTTATCAGAAGGCATTGGCAGGTTTATAATGACTTCACCTGATAATGAGCACTCGTGGAAAACATATCATAAAGCCACTGCTGAAGAAGCATCTCAGCATGAGTTTTCTGGTAAAATGCTTGTAATAAATCATTCAAGTTTGCCCACAAGCTACTGTGTGCTGGGAAACGGTCGGAAACTCTATTTCTAAAACACTTCTGAAGACAACTGACACTTGGAGTAATACATACAGTGAAAAACCAGACACGGTTACACCTTAAGCAGAGAAGTTCACAGGAGCTGACATTTGGGCAACTGCCATTAATTCACTTCCCGATTACTTCCCAGTGATTTTTGACAGTTTCTGTCTACAGAGGCTTCATACCACTTTTCCAAATGTGCATTCTCCTATGCTAGCAAAAGGGAACGGGGTAGAAAATGTCAGAATCCAACTTCATTATTTACTAGAGAAAAAAAAAAAAAAAATATATATATATATATATATATATAATAATATATATAATATAATATAATAATAATAATAATATATATCTATATATAATATTTATTATATATAAATATATTTTAAGATTCAGCCTGCAAAACCAATTCTAAGTCCTGCACAATGAACGGCTCAGAATATGTAACGCTGTTCCTCTCAATTAGTACTCAGCAAAATTGCACATTTCAGGGAACTGCAGCAGTCTCTTATTAGCATTAAGCTATAGGTTCGTACCAATAAACATTTGGCTCTGAAAAGATGATTACTGCGACCTGAAGAAGTTGTGGATGACAAGAGACAAAGGAAAGGCATAAGAAAAAGCAGAAATGAAACATCTAATTAGAGAAGTAATCTTAAATATTATCAAGTCCTACTGACCTTTTACCTCTTTTGTTGTTATCAGCCGGTTAATTGCTCTTATGTGTCACAGACTCAACTCTTGCAGAAAATGAAGGGGGGAAAAAATCCCATAATGACTCTGAACAGCTTCAAGGAAAGCTTTCCAAGTCTATGAAATTATTGCTTGGGCTGATAAATAAAATAAAGTGAAAATAAATGAAAATAAATGAAACTAAACTAAACTAATAAAATAAATAAAATATTAAAATAAAAGCCCTACTTTGGATCTCTCCAACTGGAAGGAGCAGCTCTCAGCACAAAAGCACAGGAAATTTCTAGCGTGCGGCTGGGTGACCATCTTGTCTGTGTCACTCACTGTGCTGCCATCCCAACTGCGCTGCCAACTGGGTGGAAAACAAAACAAAACAAATCCTAATAATTTATCCAAACTCTCCCTTTCAGCTTGAAGCAGATTTCGTATCTCAAAAACAACCCGGTCCGCAGAGCCAGTTTAATTCTAGGCACTATTAACAGCAGCGGCCATCCCAGCGTAACAACTGGGTACACGTCCCCTCCTGAGCTGGGTTGGTTGGTACCTGGTCACAGGCTCACCACGCTTCGGGGACGTTTGCCTTAGGGCAGAGCCTAATGCAGGGAACTGCATTTGCTTGCCTATGTTTGCTGAGTTGTTTTTTTTGGGTGTTGGTTTTTTTTTTTTTCAAAACAGCTTTGGCTACCCAAAGGGATAGAACAATGCATTGAGTTGATGCTTGGGTTAAAACTGGGCAAGAGCCCAGTTTTTCACAGTCAGACCTAGAAACAGTCCCACCAAGCTCACTGGGACCACTAGAAGGTGGCACCTGATGTAAATGGGCACGGTCTTTGCCTGCCTGCACAGCAGCACGTCCTGCTATGCTCCCACACGCTGTAGCATCGCTTTCTTGCTTGCTTGGTCTGTATTTAAGCAAGAGTCAAGAGTTCTCAAATTCCTTCCTCCCAAGTCTTTCGAAACTTAATGCTTGCTGAGTGCCTTCAAATATTTGGACGAGCAAGGGCTGTAGAAAAATACAGAATTACTCAAGCGTTTTAAACAGAATTTATAGTTTGACTTCCGAGGCTAAAACTGCCTAAACTGTGCTCGAAGCTCCCTTTAAGTCAGGGGAGGAAGGGGATTTCACAGGACAGTGGCTCACTTCAGTAAAGAGATTAGAGTTATACCATCACTTTTCCTTCCTTTATGAAACGTAAAATAAAATGGAAAAAAATAACCAAGGGCTGTATCCAAAACCACCTTTTATTGCCACTTTATGGATTTAAATATTTAACATTCATATAAACAACTCTCTGTGTTTATGTAGGTACTCGTGATTTCACCATAAATGGCAGAAATGGTAGAAAATCTGTTTTTCCAACCTTTCTGATATTCCTGCATCTGGTGGATCCTGAAGTATTCACTTTGCATGTTCTCATCTCGTTGCGAAAAAAGAAATTATTTTTGAGTGAACTATATAGTGTTTAATGAAAAAAAATATTACACAGTGTAGGCTTTCACAATTAAGCCACTTTTTTTTTTTTTTTGCAAAATAACATTCCAAGTAAGACTTCTCTCTTTTATTCAAAAAATAAATATATCCTTTCTGAATCAAAGCATTTCATATGACATTAAGTACAAAGAAGAAATGTACTTCTTTGGAAGTTCTGAAATAGACAGACAAGAGCTCATGGGAGCAACATTATCCATAGCAGTGATAAAAGCTGAACGCTGATTTCTTTACAAATTTATAGCAGAACAGAATTTCCTCTTACAATATAGAACTTCAAACAGATTTAAGAAAAACACCATTTTAAAAGTCTGAAAGGCACATGAACTGGACCATAAAACGTACTGGCACATTCACTAATACGTTTTATGTTACATTCCTAAAGTGAAACTGTGGAACCCTAACCAAGAGAAAGACCGAAGACACCAGCAAGTTCTTTTGTAAAGTATCAGGAGTGGCAGAGAGTTTCTTTTGGCTCTTGATAAAAGCATGAATACCCCGAAGGTAGAAAGTCTGCAACACTGCATCATTCAGTCGTATTTGGGCGAGTTGCGACATAAACAAACACCACAATCAGCAGTACTACGACGGCCAGCGTGGGAAGCACTACGGTGGTGATCTGTTGCCGGGCCTCCTGCATCGCCTGTTTCCTCTCCTTTTTGTCTTTGGAGGTCTCTTTTTTGGGCTTCCCTCTTAGCTGCCTCATTTTCCTCTGAGGATCTTTCGGTTGCCAAAGCGGAGGAGTGAGGGGAGTTGAGCTGCAGAAGACGGGCCAAGGTCTCTCGAAGCAGGGGGCTGAAATCTTCTGTCTCCTTCAACTGGCTGGCTGTACGAGAAACTGCAAGAGAAGGGGGAAAAGTGCAAGTCTTCTGAGCAAAATCTACATATATAATGCAGTTATTAAAACTATTTCCAGCTTCACTTGGTAAAGCTTTTCCCTAACTGGCATCAATATCCACTCGTCTTTTTTGAATGAAACTGAATGGCAGCGTGTTCGTTCACTTCATTGTAGAATCACAGAATCATTAAGGCTGGAAGAGACCTCCAACACCATCTGGTCCAACCATCACCCTATTACCAATATCACCCACTGAACCATGTCCCCAAGCACCATGTCCAAACTCTCCTTGAACACCCCCAGGGACGGTGACTCCACCACCTCCCTGGGCAACCCGTCCCAGTGCCTGACTGCTCTTCCTGAGCAGAAATGTCTCCTCATTTCCAACCTGAACCTCCCCTGGCACGACTTGAGGCCATTCCCTCTGGTCCTATCACTGGTTATCTGTGAGAAGAGGCCGACCCCCAGCTCCCCACGGCTTCCTTTCAGGTGGTTGCAGAGAGCAATGAGGTCTGCCCTGAGCCTCCTCTTCTCCAGCCCAAACACCCCCAGTTCCCTCAGCTCCTCACAGGACTTGTGCTCCAGGCCCTTCATCAGCTTCGTAGCCCTGCTCTGGGCACGTTCCAGGGCCTCGATGTCCAGCAACACTTTCCCCAGGATAAACTACATCAGCTCATCATGATGTGTCCATTCGCCCAGGAGCACTGAACTCACCCTGTATTAAGCTGGAAACAAAGCCCAGCACCATACATTTCATCCTCCCAGGCAAACAAGATAACACAGCTAAAGACTTAATGAAAACAACATGAATTAGTCTTGCGTCAACACAGAGCACCAGCTGCCCCTTCTTGTAAGAGCAGCAGGCTCCCAACCAAAGGTCTGTGGCTCCCCACAAATCTGCAGAACCAGGAAGGGCGAGCAGGCAGCCTGTCATAAGGAAAAGCATTAAGCATTTATCATCCACACCTGGTATTTATGGGAATAAAGGGTACTCGAACAGGAAGGGACGTGGGGAAGGAGCCGCTTAACTTACAGAACACAGCCTAAACCATAACATGACTCAGTGCTCTCCCTCTCCTTACAGCTGTCATTTTTCTATGGAGAAAAAAAAAAAAAAAAAAAAGAAAGAAAAAAAAAAAGAAAGAAAAAAAAAAAAGAAAAAAAAGAGCATCCTAAGTGATAATCAGCCTGCTGACAAATCGCTGTCTTAGACAAGCAGTCATTAATAAGCTGGTTGCTCTGGAGCATCAACTGCACTGGTTTATAAAAGCAGAAGGATCTATCAGGCAGGATGAACAAAAACACCGCACCACGTGAAGCCTTCCTGAAAGAAGAATTAGGAGGTGCTTGTGTTACAGAACCCAAGGGCGCAGGGAAGTTTTTCTCTCCCCCGACACTGCCTGCAGCTGTGTAAGCCACTGCCTGGGCTGGGGGAGGGAGAGGGCCACAGGCTGGCTCTGTTCCTCCTTGCCACATCCCTGCTGCACGCAGGGCACTTGTATCCTGAGCACAAATTGGGGTGGAACAGTTACTGGTGCTGAGCAGTTAATTTTTGGTTCAACTGAATAGGAACTGATGGTTTTCCATCACTCAACGTACCGGGAATTAAACATCTGACGAAATTAGTGGGTGACTGCAACTGCCTCTTTCCTTCCTCTCTTTTCTATCACAGCACAAGGCTGATGTTAGCGTGCTGCTGCAGGTGATGAGAGCAACAAGCAAAGCTGCAACGTGCTCGCAGCTCACCACAGCCACGACTTCTTGATGTATCATCTCTGGTCAACGTTACAAGTTGTCTTATGACTACCTTAAAAAAAAAAAAAAAAGTGCTTTTCACTGAAAGTGAGATTCTTCCTGCTGGTGTTATTGCTCAGCCTTGTTCGTCAGCCTGACGACAGAAGCAAAGCCAGACTAAAAAGCCCACGTCCAAAAGGAGAATCCCCACCTATCAGCGAGGTGCCGCTGCAGAAGGGCTTTCGTCCTTTCACCCATCCCTTCTCCTCGCAGCCAGCTGCCTGTTGTGAATCTCACCCAGTCGGTTGGTGGGATGTTTCCTCAGTTCAGGTACGATGCGGGACAGCTCCGCCAACCCAAAGCCACGGAAGCAACCAGGCTGGCAGAACTGTCCCATGGCATTGGGAACCCGCCAGCAAACCAACAGATCTGTCTGTCTGTCTGTCTGTCTGAGCTCCTCCCTGGGTGCCATCCAGAGGAACAAGTCCAGCATGAAGGACCCATGGGCACCTGGGGTCGCTCCTTCTGCATCCCATGTGCACGCCTTGCCAGCTTCTTCCGATCTTAAACTCCATAAATTCAACTTGGCCTCCGAGTCAAGCGGTTCCTTTCAGTGTTGATAAAGCATAAAAGGGAAATTTGGCTGGCTGGGATGCTTCTCCAAAGAGGAGACAAAGTTCAAGCCTTAGAAAGTCTTAGAAAGTCTTTCTTCTGCCAGCTGCAGCATTGGAACTGAAATGCAGAATGTATTTAGAGACCAGAAGCCATCAGTGAACTTCATAATGAGGAGGCAAATAGGAACAGGATGGAGCAAATGCACCACACCCTGTTCCAGTCTGTTCAATCAAACAGGACTACCTGATTTCTCACCATTACCTGTTCCTTTCATCAAATCCTCATCTCTCTTATTGATTCAGGAGAAAATCTTTGGTATTGCAACTTCTGCAATCTGTGTTTTGGGGGGAGGCTGGTTTTTTGTTTTGTTAATCACTTCTCCAACTCACTGTTAGCTTTCCTCTGGGGAAAAACAAACCTCTGTTTTTCTCCTCCAGTTTCCATTTTCCTCCTACTCTGGTCACAAGCTTTGTTACCGAACTCCGGAGGAACTACTATGCAAAACAGAGCTTTACGTTTATCCCTTGGGATAACTAGAGATGCATTTCAGGTATTTTCATATTGTTTTCTGTCTCTACTGTTAGTGCACGTCAGCGGGCTTTGTGTCTGGATTACTCACAAGACCCAAGAAGTGATGGACAGTGAAATCCTTTGGGACTTTCCACGTGCCATAGTAACAAACAGGAGTTGCCATGAAACCAATCTCTTGAACAATAAACGTATGCTTTGCTCTACACAGCATCACTTGCTACCCAGGCAGTAGAAACATCAAGTCTCTTTTGAATATTTCATTGTGAAGCAGAATGATACCGAGTTAATTACATACCCCAGCTAGCATCTGATGGCTTGGAACACGAAGCCTCCCTGCAAATGTCAGCGCCACTTGAGCTGCAAGCTGGTGCTCTCCAGTTTGGCAATCTGGCACCCATCTTCAAACACGCTGCCAGCAGACCGGGCTATTTGGCTTTGCTACCAGCAGAGGTGGCCTTGCAGAGAAACCAGCCTAGAGATTTTAGCCAGATGAGCCTCGGGGTTCATCCTACCTGAACCGCAGAAAGGAGGCCGCCAGGCTCTGCGAGCTGCTGCCAGGCTCCTGCTGCCTCTAGGAGCCCGCGTGGTTTCTGCAGGAGTTAACACTTGCCCACAGGAAAGGTCCAGGACGCTGTACGGGTACATGCAGGGGTGTTCCTGCAGTGCTTACAAACTGTTCAGCTGCATAAAATGAAAGTTTGCAGCCCGTGTGGTGCAGAGTAAGGGCCACGGCCGTCCTCATCCACTTCCAGGCCTCTCATCAGCCACACGTGGGCTTCATGGGCCAGGAATCACCCTGCTCGCCCACTGGGAAGGCCAAACTCGGACAAGGAGGGGAAGGAGATAATATAGCATCGGGAGGGCTGTAATTAATAACCTAGTTATCGCTGCCTATTTAAAATCTCTCCGATCAAGCTGCTCTCAGAAGGGTGATGAGAAAGCGATGGCCTCGGTGTACTCCAGCCTTGTGCAAACATTTCCAAGCTCAGTGGCCAGCGTTCTCACTCTGCAGGAGAGCTGGAAACTTGCCTTGTCTCCTCAAACAGAAGCTGAGAGTCTTCTTTCCACTCCAAGTGCTGTCACACTGCTGTAGCATCCCCCTGAGGCTGCCTCCCATTCTCTAGGAACTCCTCGACCACCTCCAGGGCTGGAAATGAACACCAAACTGGGTCAGCCACTGCTTTTGCTGGTCAGTGACTCCCTCAGCTGGGACATTTGCAGGAATACCAACAGAAAAGATTAACAGAGTCCCGCAGAAGTGGAATACCTGCAGTCCACAACACTCTGTCTTTAATTTCACCTTCCTCTTGTGACTGGCAAGCAGTGACTGGGTGCAGCTGCTTGGAGCAGCCATTTCAGAGGCCGCCTCTTCTCTCTGATACTGCAGTGCCCCAACTTGACCCTGAAAAACTCAGGTTTCAAGCAGAACAAAACCTGGAAAGCTCAAGCAGTGAAGACAAACCTGAAAATGTTGGTCTTCAACGTAATAGCAACTCACAGCTTTCCTGTTCTGGCTCGAAGTCTAGCCAGTGTGATTACAGTCCCCCCTGCCCATCATCCAAACTGCTTTCTACATGTAAAAACACTTTTCTTTCTAACTTCTGGGTGAAGTGACTCTGAACTGGGCTGCAGAGCTAACCTCAAAGCCTAACAGCACAAGTCAGTAGGCTCGCTGAAGTTACTCAAAGCGATGCTGAAGCATTTGGCAACACCTTGAGGCAACTCAAATGTGGTTAAGCAGGGGTGAGGCCGTGGTAAAACCTACAGGGACTGACAGCCTGCAACACACATCAACAATCTTCCAACCTGAATTTCTGGCAATCCGCTGCCTCCTGTTGTTGTGAGATGAACCCTGGCCAGCAGTGATCTGCAGGTAGAAGCTCCTCACGTGGCTGCTCTGGGCACCAGGAAAGGCAGAGCCAGCTCCGGCAGATTTCGTTTATCGGCTCTTGGTGTAATCACACGTCTAGACATCTGAGGAACTTATTCTCACTGCTGTTACAGTGTGAGTGTATTAACCGCATTAAGCTGAATAATTTCTCTCCAAATCCCGAATTACAGGCGTTTGTGAGCCACTTTGGATTAACCTGGCCCCAGGATCCTGCTCCCGACACTGTAACATATCTGGGACAGCAAATCGTCTTGAAATTCAAACAAACAACCCGACAAGAATTAATTTTTATCATTTAAATTTCCCCCTAGGGCCACGTATGTTTGTAATGAGCCATTACAAACAAACAAACAACAGAACAGGAGACCAGGAGAATGCGCTGGATCCAAATTGCTTGCCAATGGGAGGGAAAAAGGACACAAGATATGTAAGTAGACAACGCTCTTCGCCTTACTGCAGCGTCAAAAAGCCCCAAAAACCAGTAGGTCCCAGTCACCAGGACACACCAGAACCGAAAGCAAGTCAAGAGGAAGAAGCCAAACCCACAAACCTATTGCCGTGTTCCTTGTTTCTGTTGCCAGGCTTGTGACTTCAGGGCCCTGCAGCGCCCTGCAAGGGGGCTGGAACAGGAGCAGAGCCCCAGGGATGGAAGGAGGCCACCACCACGAGGAGGTGGCAGCTGAAGGAATCGTGACACGGGGACCGGCCACCTCAGGGTGCCTGCGGCCGGCAGCTTGGCAGGGATAACAGCGTCACGGTTCCGCCTTCATTAACGTCTGGCTGCTGCTTAGACCCCACTTTATTTCCTGCCTTTGAAACCACACAGGCGATTTATTTATTTTTTTTTAATGACTGAACTGTGTGCGGCGTTGTTATCCAAGCCCCGGGTAAAATTTAGTATAAGCAAGGCTTGTTTCGGGCTGCCCCACGGAGCACAGATTTACTCCACAGCTGATTTCGCCTCGAGGTGAAATACCACGTTTTGGCCGGGGGATTTGCTTTCCTGCAGCTCTCAGGTCTGGCCATTGCGATGACAGCACCAGCAAGGTCACCGATTTCTAATGTGATTTGGCCAGTTTAAGAGATGCAGCGAAACAGGAATTTTAAAATGTATTTCAGCAGGAGCTCGGGACAGATTTACAAACAGCAACACGTGTGCACGGAGCTCTAGATGGGGTCTCCAGAGACCTCGGGTCTGCACACAGCCCTTCTGACCAGCCAGGCCAAGGTCCAGCTCCACCACTTGCTTTTCCCTGTGTTTCGGTTTTCACAGGTGTGAGAGAAAAATGCGAATCCTTGCATCTCCCCTGCATTCCTTCAGATGGTCACGACCTGGGTGCCCTACGGGACTTGCAGAAGAGTTCAGACCTGCTAACGCCCAGCTCCTGCAGTCAGAAGCCAAAACTGCTCCTGAGTTTTTTGTCTGACACCAGGCACCTCACGCTCCTGCAAACCTGACTCTGAGGGGGGAAATAAAAAAGAAACAAGCATGATTCTAGCATTTTTTTTTATCCAACTGCAGCACTTACTGTCCAGCTACATTCCCAGCCATGTCCAAGTGCAATCACGCTGCTTTTTAAACACTCGGTGTAAAATAAGTTTTAAAATCTTTATTATTTGACAGGCTCCGAAGGAGCAAAATGTTCTGTGCAGCCCTTTGTGTGGGTGACAGAGATGGATGGAGCAGAGATCTGTCAATTTGACTGAAACAGCTGAACCCTAATGAGCGGGCTTGCCCAGAAGATTAACATAAGGCTTTAATCCCCATCACACCCTCCCTCCCTCCTCCCCCAAACCCACTTCCAGCAGCCTCGGGATGAAGCGAGCAATTCCAGCTGCAGGACAGCTCCTTCTGGCGCTGACACGCAGCTCCGGGGGACCATTAACGTGGAGAAACAGCCATTATCTGCTCAAAAAATAAACTTTTAATGTGTACGAGCTGTCCCCCTGCTGAAACAAAGGCAACTGAGTGCGGAAGGAGTGTGGGAAGAGCTCACCGCGACACGGGGAACTTTGGCTCCTGCTCTATGGGATGCTCTGGGTCACCGTGCCCGCTGCTCCCAGACAGAAGTTACGCGGCAGAGCTGGCGAGCAGCCGAAGATAATACTGGCAGTGCTAAATTTGAGATCTTCATGTTTCGGTGACGCTACTTGTCACGACTTCGGAGCGCTAAAAGTGAAGAAAAGCATTAAGAGAAAGATTTTGGCTCTGTGAGAAATGGATTTTCGCAGCACGGCGTGAAGCCGCTCCTTAATACCGTACGAACCTACCTCAGCCGACTTCACTGCAGCAAAGAATTATGATTAACAAGTCAAAACAACCCCCTCTTCCAGGGCAAAAGCTTTTAATTACGCACATAATGTTACAGAACTATTAAGATGCTGCTTGAAGTCGGTTTAACATTATTTTTTAGTGAAAGTGGGGGGGTGAGTTTTTGGTTGTGGTTTTTTCTTTTTTCTTTTTTTTTTTTTTTTTGCCAAATTACAGCCCTAAATCTACGTCGCCCCGTCATTACTGCAACATCACATTTACTGCAAATGGAGCTCTGAGAGTCTCCAAACTCCTCGCAGCATTTGGGAAATGAAAGCCATCACTGAGCACTGCCAGGAAGCCAGGGAGTGTGAGGCCGTCAAAACAAAAAGCTGTTTCCATATGATTTTCACAATCCCGAGGACTGGGAGGCAGCAAGCAGTCTGTATTAGAAACAAAAAGCCGCGGATTTCTGCATCTGGGGGGGAATTGTTGAAGAGAGACGAGGTGATGGCATTTTAGGCTCATGCATCCAGTGCAGAGCAATCCGATCTGCCCTGAATATGGCAAAGAAACAGCAGAGAACTGAGTAAAAAATAAAGAGGCGAGACCTTTTGCTCTGCAAACAGAGGGACAAATAACCAAGATTTGTCTGTGCGGATAATAAAGACTCGGTATCAAGACAGCCTCTGCAAGAGGCAGTCTGGTGAAGAAGCAGGAATCATATTTACCGAAAACACAAGGAAAATAAACATGCAATTTTTGTCACTGCCTGATTTCGGTTCCCAAGGCCGGGCTGGAAAAAAAAAAAGCTGGCCATTCTCCGCATCTACAGCCACGGATGATCTTGCCCAGAGGGGCAGCAACCCACAGCACCCAGCACACGACCTCACACCACGTGTTTGCTCAGCAGCTTTCTTGCAAACTTGCTTTCTCAGCTGTTCCTGACAAAAATCCGGCGGAGGCGAGACATTTATCTGTCCGCTGCATTTATGGAAATCCAAACTGCTTCTAAATAGCCACGTTAAATAAACCCAATAGCCGCCAGGTGTCACATTCCTTAAAATTCATGTGCTGCTTTCCCAGGTTCACTTCGCGGCTACCTCAGCACCACAAACCGAGCTGCCACCCCAGCAGCACTCACCCTCTGCGCTGGCGATGGGAAACCCTAAATCCTAAATGGGAAATTCTTATTTTTTACCTTCCAGACAGGAGTGAGGCCGAACGCCTGCAAGACTGAAGGCTGACGTTAGGGTTTTGTAGTGCAAACACGGGAGCTGAGGGACTGTCGCTGCTTTTCGTTATAACTCCGCTGTCATCAAAACTTTGGCACTAAAGAGTCAGTCCCGACTAAAACTTGGCAGGGAAAAAAATCCGTGCCCATAGCAAGAATGGATTGTGGAGCCTAAAAGCACGAAAACCCAAAGGCAAGGGATGAGCCTGGGTGGCAGCGGGGCTGCTGGAACGATGGAGACTGACCAACAGAGGAGGAAAGCTGAGAGACACCAGGACAACATCTAGAAACAACGACACTCTGTGAATGCTGGACTCAGATTTCTTGTGAAGCAGCCTCCTCGGAAGGCACAAAGGGAAATCTCTCTCTTCTGGCTCACGTTACGAACTCTCCACGATAACAGAAATCAAAATTGCTGTGTATCTGGGCTCCTGAAAGCCTCCCGAGCCAGTCCTGCAGGGCAAAACTGGACAACTCTGCCCTGACAGTGAAGTTTGCTGATGTACAAAGTGTCCTGGAACGGGATGCAGTCGAACAAGGGGTTGTGATCTCAAACTCACTCGTTTCAGGGCTTGTTTGAAGTTCTGGTTTTTCAAGCTTTTCTTGGCACAGCTGGGTTTGCAGTAGGAGGCTGAGGAAAGGCTGCTGGCACCGGGCCTGTCTCTCCCTCCTCGTGCACATGCCAGGGGAGGGCTGCAGGACGGGACAGAGGAACTAACACAGAAGTCAATCCAAACTGAAGGGTGTGTGATAGGGGAACCTCTTTCCCAT